TCCTGAATGCATGCTCATGAACGGAGTGTTTTTATGTTTTGTTCACTGTTGCTCCTCAAGGGTCTAGAACAGTGCCCAGAGCCTAAGCAATGCCTAGATATGGAGTCGATACTGACCATGTCTATTCCTCAATATCACCTGTGCACAGGATAAACTGTCTACGGGCAGGGAACCTTTGTTATCCACTGTTATTGTCAGCACTTAGACCCAAATGCCATCTTTATTATATCTTGTTAAAAAAATTTAAAATGTGGAATGAGTGAATAAATTCACTGATCTTCCTCTGTAACTCAGGGGCTACAGTAAGGTCACACTTCTATTCATACTGTGAATATTATCTAAACTACTTTCCTGTACTGTCTGCTTCATTTTTTTTTTTCACCTTTAGCTTTCAATACCAGTTCCATGGTTTACTTTCTCTGTCTTTTCTACCAGTCTCTACCCAGACATTTTTCATTTCCTTTTTGTTTTAAAGGTTTTCGTCTATAGCTATTTAATACCTTTATCCAGTCTTATTTTGTACCTGATATGTTACAACTTTATGTTCTTATTCTTTGACTGGAAAAGCCTGAAAATTCGTATTGTTATGTTTGCAAACTAATTATAGCAACGGGCATTTTATGTTTCATACTACCTTCTTGATAAAAGTTTTCTGCATTACATTGTAGTCTTTATAACAGCCATGTTAATTTTTTTAATTTTTAAATACCAAAATTGAGGCTCAAATTGTTTAAATTATAATTGCATCATTTACCTCCCCCCATAATTTTAAAAAACTCTATATGTCACCTCCAGTATTTCTGGCCTCTTTTTACTTGTTTATATATGCATCAATATATAAATACAGCTGCTGAATCCATAAGTATTGCTGCTGACCACCTGGCATTGGATAACCAATTAAGGGTTCATCCCAGAGAAGACTAATCCTCTCTCTCTCTCTCTCTCTCTCTCTCTCTCTCTCTCTCTCTCGGCAGTTCTTATTTGTCTATAATCTTTTAGGCTTATAATCTCATCTTTTTCTAGAGATGAGGCTCCATGAGATTTTCTCCATCCACGTTAGCATGTTTATTGGTGTTGCCCTTGTTTGGGTCTTGTTTAGACAGCTCTTATTGAGTTATGAGTAAAGTTTCCTTGTAATTTCTAGGAGACAGCCTCATAGCAGATTTCCTGTCTTCTGGCCCCGACACTCTTGTGCCCCGTCTTTTGCAATGTTCCTTGAGAGACTGAAGGTTACTAAGAGAGGCTCTACTTGCCCACCCCCAGTCTCTTTCCTAATGAGTTATAAAGTTGACACAATTGATGAAGGCATTTGTCCTACTCACCATTGTGTGACTGCTTTTCTCAAATCTCACCCTTTCTTTCAGAAGGTCACAAAGGAACAAGAGAAAGTTGATCATCTTGCTGTTCCTAGAAAATTATCTATATTTGTACTCATTCTCAGCTCATTTATTCCAGTCTGAGATGAATAGAAATGCCTCTCTCTATTTTGGAAACCATCTTCTCGTTGCCAAGCTTTACTATGTAAAATTTCAAACACAAAAGGATAGAATAGGAAACTCCACACTCATATACTCATCATGGCTTGGCAGAATTAACATAGTAAAAAATGGCCATCTTACCAAAAGCAATCCAAAGATTCAAGCAATTCCCATCAAAATACCAACACAATTCTTTACAGACCTTGAAAGAAAAAGAAAAATTCTCCACCTCATATGGAGTAACAAGAAACCCAGAATCACTAAAACAATACTTTACAATAAAAGATCTTCTGGAGGTATCTCCATCCCTGATCTCAAGCTGTACTATAGAGCAACAGTAATAAAAACTGCATGGTACTCACATAGAAACAGGCTGGAAGATCAATGGAATTGAATAGAAGAGTCAAAAATAAACCCAAACACTTATGGACACCTGATTTTTGACAAAGATGCCAAAACCATACAATGGACAAAAAGATAGCATCTTCAACAAATGGTGCTGGTCTAACTGGATGTCTACATGAAGAAAAATACAAATAGAGCCATACTTATCACCCTGCATAAAACTAAAGTCCAAGTAGATCAAAGCCCTCAATATAAAACCAGACACACTAACCTGTTCTTATATAATTTTGTATTCAAGTTTCCATATTATAGAAAAATGATGTTTTATAGTTGATGCGTTCAAAATAAGACAATTGGGGACAGCATTCATTGTTTTCTCCTTAGAGGAGTCTGAAAAGGATGCACCAGAATGTTCCTCCTGCCAATCTACTTATGTCACTTCCTTGTGACATCATTGTATTTAGTCATACATGCTTAGCTTTTTCTATATAGAAGGTACATCTCACTGTTTTATTGCATTCAGATGAAACACTTTTAGTAAAAAAAATAAATAAATAGGTGAATGTTGTATCCTTTATGACTCGTGACTCTAAAAACGTCAAATGTCAAGGTGTTCCCCATTTATTTATGGTGCTGTCTAATCATTTGTTTAAAATGCTGCCAGTCTGTATACCAATCCTCTAGCAATAAAAAGGAGTCATGGGGCATCATGGGACTATCTTGCTTCACTTTCTAATTTTGTTTTCTACGGATAATACCCTTTGCCAGGTTACTGAAATAATTGCTTCCTTTATTTTGTAGGAGAGTACCCCAGTTTACCTCTTATGTTTATACCACTTGTCTCTTTGTCTGGGTTACTGTAGACATGGGACATCATGAAATAGCCCCATTGGCACTGCATCACAGCCTGCTAGTTACCTTTTCTCTTCCTCTTTTTATCCCAAGATAAAAAAAATAGTGTGTGTGTGTGTGTGCACTTTTGCATATCAAACTACTAAGTCAAGCAACTTCAGTCTTCTCAAAGCCCATTTGAATATTGCTTCTGCTTGCTTTTCCTTCTGGCTGGAATGCGTTGCATCTTGTTCTGAACACCTGCTCTTTCTTTAAAACCAGGAGAAAGCATCACTCATTCTATGACAGATTCCAGAAGAGAGAATGATCCTTGGCTCAGTTCTATGTTTATTGTTTATACTTGCTGGCAGAGAATTCAGAATGTACAGTGCCTGTGCTTTTTGCTTTTTCTTCCCTCTGCACGTTAAGCTTCCTGAAGTTAGGCATCTGTGGTATTTATTCTGTGCCTTGCATCTATCATTGAGTTAAACAGTCAGGAAGTATTTACATGCATTGCCTCCCTTGTTTTGATTTTAACCAATGAGAAGTCCTGGAAGTAGAATACTGATGATGGTGATGATGAGTGAAATTTTTGCCTCTCCATTACCTTTTCTTCCTATTCTGAAGAATCTGATATTTAGTTTATCTAATAGATTCTTTAAAAGAAGATGCTTTATGCTTGTTTCTTTCTCTATTTTTTTAAGGAAGAGGATAGTTGCTCAAACAAAATAAAGAAGACATTGCCAACCTTTAGGCTATGGTCCATTCAGACATAAAATATGCCCAGACAATATTCTTTCCTTAGGGGTTTAGTTTGTAAAAAGATCATGTTTTGAAAACTATGAAATTAACAATCTCATTTTATTGCATTTTTAGGAGCAAGATATAATTTAAAGACAAATACCTAGGTACTATAATATTGGATATTTTTTACACCATGCCTTAGCTTTTACTAATTGCTTCCTAAAAATTGTCTTTGTTTAGGCCCCTGTTATGTGGAGCACCTTTATGTGTGGCCTAAGGCTCTTTTATCCTTGTTTTTCCACTTGTCATTTCAATGCTTATCCTCACCTAGTACTGTCATTACATAACTTTAGATTAGTTCTGTCTCCTTCTGAAGTCGATATAAGCTCTAAAATCTTGGTTTCTGTTTCTGTGCTTTTGTAGTCTCAGATCCCTGATCTTTACTTTGGATTACATCTCCTGCCTAGAGCTGACTTTTTACCCAGTTTCCTCCCTGTATTAAAAAGCTCTCGCCTGTAGCTACATGTATACACATGACAACCACCTGCTTCCAAGCGTGTCCATAAACTCTCACACCCATTCTGGTACCATTGCCTGAACCCTGCTCTTCAGGTTTCTTTCATTCCCTGCCTAGACTTTTTACCTACTTTTTCTACCATGATTATAAGCATGCTACCTGCAGCTAAATGGTACATCATATGACAAGCATTTCTCTTAGGGATCATCTGCAGACCCTCACAGTTAGCTTGGTACTTTCTATTTTCATTTTCTCTGACTTTTTTTCTTTCAGTCTTTCACTGGTTTCTTGTGTCATTTAGAAGTACAAATTGTCCCCTAGACGGACCCTGGCCTTCCTTACCATTCCTTATGTTATTTCTCCTCCCATCACTTTTTGGAGTCAGATAAGCCTTGGTTTTTTTTTTTGTTGTTGTTGTTTTATTTTGTTTTGTTTTCTTGTTCCTTGCCTGTGGTTAGAGACATGGAGCCAATTTGCATTAGTTATGCATCATGACCATACTCTACATCTTAGGGAAAACATTCTCGGGAAATGTCCATCCAAGTAATTACCTTTTCTTTTTTAAATATGTTGAAATTATTTTGCAGTTTAGTAATACCATTATGCAACAGATCTTTAATCAAAGACAATTTTAAAGCGAAGGAAACCCTGTCTTGGAAAAAAAAAGACAACAACAAAAAAGTAAAAATTTAAAAGTAGTGAAATGTTTTCTCTTTGCTGTCTTTGGGATAGGGGTGGGGAGTAAGGGACTTGGCATTCAGGTTTTTTTTTTTTTCCATGAAATAAAAAATGATTCCTAGCCTTAGTTATAGCTCTGCTAGCATCTCATTAACAATCTTTATAATTCTCTCATGAAAAAGGAGAAGATACACTACTTCAGTATGAAGAATTAAGATAGAACTCAATAAATGAGTCAAATGTCCATTCTTATTAAGCTATTGCAGTAATAAGGTAGAGGACAAAGAGCTTAAGGCAAGAGGGTAGCTTAGACAAGTAGCTAGGAGTCTGACAAAATATTTGGATTTCAGAGGAAAACTTCCATGAAAATATACCGATGTCCATGCTCTATTTTCTTCTCCTTGTAGTTTCGCTATGCAGGTTGGCTGGACAAGTTGTACATGCTGATGGGAACTCTGGCTGCCATTATCCATGGAGTTGCACTTCCACTTATGATGCTGGTGTTTGGAGACATGACAGATAGCTTTGCATCTGTAGGGAACATTCTGCCAAATATTACTAATGGAAGTAAGTATTGTTTTGTGGTACCAGTTGTGCTGGAAACTTGCAAAAATCACTCCTCTAAATCAATTGTTTGTGAGGTCTTAATAAGGATAAACTATAGCGTTTAATGGTCGAGGTGGTGGAGGGTGTGGCCTCTAACTCATCCTTGTAGTGATCTTGAGACGATGATACAAGCATTAGAACAACCAGTGGAAGTGCTGACAGAGATATGTGGAAATACAGAGGGGATCTCTGAAGTCAGAAACATCCCAAAAACCTTCAGAAAGAAGTACAGGAGTCTCCTTAGGTCCTTGAATGGGATCGTTATAAGAGGCTGTGGTTATGAGAGACTCTGGTGTAAGAGAATAGTCTAGGATGATTCTAAAGGATTTAACCCGAGAAGCTAGAAGGACATAATTTTTCCCCGGATGAGAAAGATGGAAGCACAGTAGCCTTTATTATAGCAATAAATACCAGCAATTTGTGTTTTATATGGCGTTATAGGCTGGGCTCCCTGGGAGCAAACCCAGGGTCAGAGAAATGGGGCCAAGAAAAGTGTAAAGAGATTTGTGAGAAAAAGTGAGATCCAGTGTGCAGGAGCAGATGTTTGCATAAGCTTGGTGCAATAGTTCAGCCTCAAAAACAGGAAGAGATAGAGGAAGCGAGTGTTAAGAGTCCAAAGGTGGATACATGAGGAGGTGGCCTGTGAGAAAGTTCTGATGACAGGAGATCCTTTCATTTGCCAATGACGTGTTCCAATGGATACAGAACCATGCATAGTACAGCAACATGCATGTATTATATTTTTCATATACATACATATCCATGATAAAGTTTAATTTATAAATTAAGGGCAGTAAGAAATTAATGAGAACAATGATAGAATAAATATAACAATATGCTCCCTTCAAAGCTATGTGAATGTGGTCTCTCTTTCTCAAAATACGTTACTGTACTGTTCTCACCCCCCCCTCCTCTTGTGATGACGTGAGATATACAGTCTCATGGTTGAATGCAGGAAACTGAAACCACAAAAAGTCTAAATGTGATGAAGAGAGTCTTGCACATCAGTTTTCTCATGATTTTGAAAGTAAGAAATCCTTGCTTCAGAAGAAATGAAGTGAGAGCAAGAAAATGAATGGTCTTTTGAAAGAATTTGTATGTGACACGCTTGACCTGGGTGATAGCTCTATGCTTCACTCTGAAGGACTCCACAGTCAAGCAGAGATTGGATTAAATTAAATGAAACTTCTCAAAGACTTACAGCTCAGTTTCCACACATGTGGGAAAAATGTTAAGAAGGGATGAGGCTGTAGCCCAGTGGTGTTCGCCACTAGGTTCAGTTCCTAGTAGTACACTAAAAAGAAATGCCCCAGAAACATAGATACTTCTTGGCTTACAACGACACTTATACATTTGTAATTTTCTTTTATTTTATGCCAAGGATTAAACCCAGGGCATTGCATGTCAACATCTGAATTTCAAGTCTCTGGTACATGAAATGGATTCATTTTCCTAGAAATAGTCATAAAAATATTAATAGGAACATTTATGGACTCTTTGGTATTTGTCCTGGGTCCTGGAAACTATTTCTTTGTAGTCCCAAAGAACCCATAGCTTTCCATAGCTTCTTCAGTTCTGTTAATACAAATAATGATTTGAGCTGGAAAAAAATGATGTATTTTTGAGTAATGTAAAGTTTACACGCTCCCCCCCCCCACCGCCTTCATGAAATTCAAACAGCTTGTAAAAATATCCTGTGCCAATACTGAACTGCTGTATCTCCTTTGTGACATTCACCCAAGGAAAGTCCTCAATGCTTTCTGAATTCTTTAGCTCCTGTACATGCTATATTTTACAGCAAGCTGTGGAGTTGGCTATCTCATTAGCTTCTAGTGAAATAATTTAATTTTTTAGGGTTCTCTGTTAGCTCAGCAGACACAAGGCATGCATTTATGTCATTCTGCCCTTACCCAAGCACTGCTCTAACAGGGTGAGCAGTGTCAACTAACTAGGCTGATACACAGTACGGAGGGACAGTGGCTGAACTTAGCTGTTAATAAATAAATTAGTCTAGTGTTGAAATTCAACGCCATTTGAGAATAGAGTAACACATAACTTCTTGAAGTCAGAAGAACTGACTTCTTATGAGCAATAAACTAAGTCTATTACATTCATCAGTTTTTCTTTGTTATGACAAATACCTGAAAGAACTTGAGCACAGTAAGGAATTATCCCATTTATTTCTACCTACAGTTTCAAAGGCTTTATGCCAAGTTGGGTCAGTTACTCTAGAAGTGAGGAAAAGTAAAATTTATGGTAGCAAGAGGGCATGTGGTAGATGGGCTGTTCACCACACAGAGTCTGGAGGGAGAGAGCAAGCCAGCCCAAGGCTAAGACACTCTTCAAAGGCATGCTCCAGTGACTTTGTTTCCAGTTGTTGGTGATGGTGGTGTTTTTCCAATTATTCCCCATCTCTTAAACTTCTATCTTTTCCACAGAATGTCATCAATGAACCCATCTATGGATTAATCCACAGCTCAGGTTAGGGCTTCATGATCATTAGAGCTATCATTTCTACCAACAAAACACAAGACATTTTCAGGGACATTTTATGTTATATCTAAACATACCATATCTAGTGATCTCTTTTCTAGATCTTTTATCTCTTCTATTGCTTTCTTTCTCCATCACCCAGACATAAATTATTCTGACCCCTTTAAGGACACAAGTGGTCTCTTCTGACAGATGTACTCTTTCTTACCAACTTTATCTAAGCCACCAAACACAAGGATAGACGGTGCTATGGCCTGTGTCCTATGTCTTTCAAAACTAATGAGGACCTTCTAACCCATAGTGTAAGAGTCTCGGGAGGCAATGGCTTTGGAAAGTGATTAGGTCTTGAGGGTAGGATCAGTACCGTCATGAAAGTGGCAGAGTCAGAGCAGCAGGCAGGCTAACCAATAGACACAAGTCTTTAGAGGGGAAAGCAGCACAGGTGGAAGATTGTGGCTATTGGGTAGCCTGTGTCACTGGCAATGAGCCTGCTGTGATGAGGACAGACTCCCATATGGACAGATGCTTGGGAAGTAGGTCATCTTGGCAAAATTTCCAGTTTCTTTTGCTTGTGGTTGATGGAGCTTTCTGTACAAGAATACTTGGGAGTCTGGAATCATAACATTTTAGAGATAGAAGAGGCCTTGTGGATCATGTATGTCCATGGTTTACTATGCCTTTTCAATCAGAAAACTCTACAGGTAAGTGACACTTGTCATGAAAGCTCACCAGTAAAAAATATCTCACAGAGAGTGCAAACTGAAAGGAATAGAAGGGAGTCCAGAGGCGGGTCTCTGCTGCAGGCCTGCTCTTCTACTACCCTTTTTAACACTAAGCTCCCTTTGAGAGTTCAGTCTTAACCACAGCTATAACCCTTGTCTGAGGTCTTCTTCATACACAGTTCTATCTTCCTAACTCCCTGACATGCTCCCACCACTCCTGCCTGTTTTTTTTTTTTTCCAGTTCTCCACATATTGTCACAGTCGAGGTTTTTAAAAAAACAGAAATTAGTTTATTTCTGTCCTAGTGGTTTCCTATAATATGGAATAAGTTCAATTTGTATTCAGTGGCTTGTATAGCATTATCTGCTCATCTCCACTTGTCCCATAAATCTCATCACTCATGCACTTCTTCCTGTTCCCCAGGACCTTCCAATCTCCTTCTTAACTTGGGGTGGTTTAGACAGTGCTTGTTTGTTCATGTCTTCACTTCTCACCTCAAAGGCACTATAACATCACTGTTGTGCTTACTTATTGGAAGTTATTACTCTGAAATTATCTTGTATATTGGTTGCTTTGCTTGCTTATTGTGGCTTCTTGTGTGGGGAAAAAAAAGGCATAACAGATAAAAAGGAAGTTTGCGGAAAAACTTGGCTAGAGGTTTCAGCAGGATCACCCTATCTCATGAAATTTGGTACTTAAAGGCGGGAGAATTTCCAGCTGGAAAAGTAGCCCAGTGGGATTAGAAAGGTGGCTCTCATTCTAGGTGGTACCTAGGGCCTGGAAATGAGGCCATGTAGAAGGTGGCTTGGAAAATGCCCTTTTAATTTATGTTTATAGGAAAGCTTTTTCTCCACAGAAACTGCCTCTGGAATAGTAGAATTGTTTCATTATTTTTAAAAAATGAGGTTGTTAGTCACAGAAAGAGAAAAGAAAAATATTTTTATTATAACTTCAACTTACCAGTAAGGAAAAATTACTTATTTGTGTCATATACTCTCCCCCTCCTTTTTAGTCCTTCTTTATAATAGTAAAGAATATCTGAATAAAAAAAAAAGAAAATGAAAAAGAAAGTGCTGAAGAAAAAGTAGATGGAATGCTTAGAGAACAGCAAATTGCTCAGTGAGCTCAGACGTGGGGCTCTTTGGAATTAGAGAGAGCTCTAAAAGGTGGAGATGATGAAGAGCTGTGAGTTGAGGCTGGAAATTTGTGTAATAAATGTGGTATTTCAGAACCCCAGTGTTCAAAACAATAACTTTTATTTTATACAACATAATTTAAATTCTGAGTCCCTCTTTCCCCACAGTGGCAATTGTTTAGGGTAGCTTAGCTGTTTTAGTGTGCCTGTTGCCCTCCATAGGTTGCTGTCTGAGACCCAACAAGTCTGTGTTTTGTAGGCTGATGTTGGGGGTTGAACCAAGGCTTTGCACATGGGCAAGCTCTACCACTGAGCTGTCCTCTAGCCCCACAATATAACTGCAGATGAGCGAAGGCCAAATGATGTTAAGCACTGCTTGAAAAGAATTGACTCAAGCTTTTTTGTTCCCCTCTCTTTGGAGCATTGAAATTATTCAACTCCCTCTGACTTTCTTCAGGTCCAAGCAGGCTCTAGGCACTGTCCTGTGGATGTCTTCTGAATGAACATGTGATCATTCCTTTTCTGAGCTCGCTCTCTCTCTCTCTCTCTCTCTCTCTCTCTCTCTTTCTCTCTCTCTCTCTCTCCCCGGTCTGCATAGGTAGCCATAGACTGGCTTCTCTTTTCTGGACTCTTCACTGTCTATACTTTTCATCACTCATCAACTGCATATCTTCTTTAAGGCATGCAGAAAATATTTTTTAAGTCATAAAAAGTAGAATGTTGTCCCATGAATTTAAACAGTTTTTTGCTTTGGTCATTTTCCTCCCTATCCCTTAAAGGAATAAGGTTTGGACACATAAAAGCCAACAAGAAGCCTACAGAACTCCTGTTGTTTGTTTGTTTGTTTGTTTGTTTGTTTCCCCTTCCTACATCCACACCACACCCTCTCATACCCAGTCCAAACTGGGACGCTTATAACTCTTATTACTGACTTTCAGTACATTCTGCTTCGTTTGCCAACAATGGTTTTTATCTATTTTCCACACCTTTCAAATCAGATGCATCTTCATGAGTCTCCCACATACTGTAACCTTTTTGTAGTGACTGTAAGGTTTAAAGTCTTAATTGTGTTATTTTCTCCTATAAAATATTCACCATAAATATCTACATATTATACCACTGTGTATGCTTCATTGTGTGTAACAGTAAAGTGTTGCAGACAATAAAAATCTCAATTGACATTGAGATTAAATTTTTTAAGAAGCTAAGAGTGTGCATGTATTTATACATGTATATATATGTATATTTGAAAGACCTGAAAATAATACATGTTAAAGATATTGAGTAGTGATAACTTGTGTTTATAGGGGTCATTAAGTTATGAAAGAGTTTTTAAAATACTCAGTTCAAAGCCAGTGTTTCTTAATATTGGATGATGGTTGTCAATGGTTTAACTTAACTTTTTACACTTGTCAATTATCCTTGTAAAAGTGTAAAATTTATTACACTGTAATTTATATGTAATAAAATTATATGTAATAACCTTTAAGTAAAAATAATAGTGTTGAAATGTGGGCTGGAATGTAGTTGAGTTAGTAGACTGCTTGCCCAGCATGCATGAGGGCCTGTGTTTGTATGTTCTATTCAATCCCCACCACAGAGATCCTCAGTATGGTGGTTCGCTCCTGCACTCCCAGTACACAGAGGCAGAGGCAGAGACAGGAGGCCCAGAAGTCAAAGTTTGAGACCCACGGAGATTACGTGAGATCTAGTCTCAAATGACCAGACAAGCAGGTAGAGAACTACATTGTTAGGTTTTTAGTGTGTAGCTGAGGGTTAAGTACGCAGTAGTATTTACCACTGCATGTTTCTTCTGGCCAATACACATCACTGAATGTAGGTTGTGTGGAGTAGTACACAGTCAACAGTGTGGTATTTGAACGGATGTCAAAATACTTTTAGACAAATAAAACTAAGTTAGATCTCTTTTTCATAATAAGTTTCACTCATTTCTGTATGCTTAGTATTTAAGGCTTATGTTTGTTTTGTTCTAGGTTACTTCAACAAATCAGACGTCTTGGGCAAGCTGGAGGATGAAATGACCACGTAATTACGTATTATCCTTATTGTTACCCTATTGCCCTCTTCTGCATGGCTATAGTTACAGTAATATAGTTCACTTTATGATAAAAAATGTTAGAGGGTTTGAGACTATCATTATTAATTTTCAAGGAAGATACATTATAGGCTTTTTTCAAAGCAAAGTGTTTATATCATAAAGTGTACTAAGTTAAGGTTAACCCTCAATTAAACCCATGTACACAGTTGAAAAGATAAAAGACCATATACAGGGAAATTGGAGGAGTTGAACATAGCCCTGTACATATATTTGAATTCACAATAATTATTTTCAATAGTTTCATAGTGAATAGTTTGCTTCCTGCCATGATAAAATGCTAAGATAAGCCACAGAAATTCTTTAAACTCCATGTCTAATTCTAAATAGCAAAATCCAACATCCCAGAGGAAATATAGTCACTTTGGCCTTAAGTCACATGGGCAGGCTTTTATTTTGTTAATGATTTATGCATATGGATAGTTAGTCTGTGCAATAGCTGTGTAACAGCTGTCCAAAGATATGTGTTGGTGAATAGGATGAAAACAGTCCTCTGTTTTACTATGCTTTCTTGGAAGAAAGTGGAGATACAATAACATTTTGAATATAACTATTACTATGAGGAGGCTTGTTTTTAATACATGGGACCTAAATGATTAAAATGTATTACATTAAAGTACGCTATTATTTTACCACTTACAAGGTTTACTTGTTAAATGGACTTTGCTTTTAACTTTGTCTCACATTACCACTTGTACAATAGTTAATTATACAGTTACATGTTAACTAAAATGTGAGGTTCCAGTTACATCCTCCTTAATAAGTACAGTTTGTAAGATGGGGATTGAAGGATGACTGGTTTCCGTAGCAACATTCTTATAGGTTGCTCTTGGAATTGTGGACATAATATAATAGGTAAGCTGTGTGCTGTATGCCTATTTTTAAATCCAGTACTTAGAATGAACATTATTCATAGAGAGCAGGTAAAGACTTTTCTTTTTTGAGACAGGATTTCTCTGTGTAGCCATGGCTGACCTGGACTCGCTTTGTAGACTAGGCTGGCCTTGAACTCACAAAGATCCTCCTGCCCCTGCCTCCCTGAGCGCACCACCTTGCCTGGCAAGAACATTTTTTTAATTTTATTTTATTTTATTAATTACACTTTATTCACTTTGTATCCCCCCATAAGCCCCTCCCTCCTCCCCTCCCGGTCTCATCTTCCCTCCCCTTTCTTCACACATGCCCCTCCCCAAGTCCACTGATAAGGGAGGTCCTTCTCTCCTTCCTTCTGATCTTAGTCTATCAGATCACATCAGGAGTGGCTGCATTGTCATCTTCTATGGCCTGGTAAGGCTGCTTCCCCCTCAGGGGGAAGTGATCAAAGAGCAGGCCAATCAGATTATGTCAGAGGCAGTCTCTCTTCCCATTACTATGGAACCCACTTGGACACTAAACTGCCATGGGCTACATCTGTGCAGGGGTTCTAGGTTATCTCCATGCCTGGTACTTGGTTGGAGTATGAGTCTCTGGAAAGACCCCTGTGTTCAAATTTTCTGGTTCTGTTGCTCTCCTTGTGGGGTTCCTGGTAAGAACTTTTTAAAATACATCAAATGGTAGTTCATTTTGCCTTGAAAAAGGTGTGGCTTTGTGGTAGAACACTTTCCTGGTATAGATGAGACCTTAGGTTCCATCCCATGCAACAGAAAACAGTAACAAGAAACAGGGTTTCTATTTAACCTAAATATGGACTGCTAAGTGAAGCCATAGAACTTTTAGCTACAGAGACACAGCATGGAGACGCTTGTTCAGCTTGTCCAAAAGGTGTGATTAAATGTTTAAACTGAGAGGAAAACTATTTAATGTATTGAACATTTCAAGTTAGTTCTCCGTAGCCAGTTGTGAAAATAACATGAAAACACTATCAATTTATAGTTGTCATTCATCTTCTAAGCTCTGCTAGACTAGTAGTTCAAAAGAGCAGGGGACGACCTCCACCTCCTGGTTATACTTTCTCACAAGTTCCATCATGTCTTTCCCTCTCCCAAGGTCCAGAGACCACCCTAAAGGCTTCATCGAGTGAGGCTGCTGTAACAAAAGTAGATGAGACTACAATTACAATGTTAAGTCAGGCGCCAGTACACTAACAAGCTTTCAAAACCACTGGCACTCTGAGTAATTATTATGCACTAGGCATTGGCTTGAGTACATTCAGACATATAATAATTACTACTCTTTTCTCCATAATACATAATTGAAGCTTAGGTTATTAAGCATCCTGCCTGAGTTTACAAGGTAGTTAGGTGAAGAAATGAGATTTGCTCCAACACCATTCTTCTATTGCCACAGACATAGGTGGATGCCCACTATTCCAGCTCTGCTCCTTACAGCCTCTTCTTCTTTGTTAAGGGTGGGATTACCCAGAAAACTAAAGAAATAAGACTAAGTTGTGTTTAGAGAGAAGAACTGGTAAAAAAAAAAACAAAAAAAAAACAAAAAAAAACAGCACGTACACAGTGTCCTTGTTTTTCAGGTACGCCTACTATTACACGGGGATCGGTGCTGGTGTGCTCATAGTTGCCTACATTCAGGTTTCGTTCTGGTGCATGGCAGCCGGAAGACAAATACACAAAATCAGGCAGAAGTTTTTCCATGCTATAATGAACCAGGAGATAGGCTGGTTTGACGTGCACGACGTCGGGGAGCTCAACACCCGGCTCACAGAGTGAGTACCTGGTTTATGCTGGAGTCTGATGTGGTCTCGTTCTCACCAGCTCTGTCAGGACTGTCGCTGCCTCACCGAGCGGAGGAAAGCCCTTGTGCCCGGTACCTGGGTCTTCCACAGCTTCTTGTCCACAGCAGGGCATGGGAGGATGGAGGTGGGCTCCTGTTTGCCTGGCACTGAGGGACTAGACTGGCAGAGTCAAGACACACTCAGCAAGCACGGCAGTGGTGCACAGGGAGCAATAATGTGGGCTGTCCAGTCCCGCTGAGCCCTCTCCTGCCAGGGCTCCATGGTGTCCTTGGACTGCAGTGGGGAGAAGGAAGGAGCTCCTGTCTGTCTATCATCCTCTGCTCTACAGAAGACAGGATGAACTCAAAGATTGCCTTCATAGAGGACAGAGCCAGATGCACGCAGAGAAATCTCTGAGCAGTTTGAAATTTCACAGTGAATAGTCTTAAATGTCCCATGTTCGTAGTCTGAGGCCAAGTAGGCCTAGAAGGAGGCCACAGCTGAGCTAGCTTCATAGAATACTGTTAATGACAAATCTCCTACAGGAAAATGACAGCCTTCCCACATTATTGCTCCCCCAAAGGACCAGGCATATACACAGATCCTAGGCACAAATTAATTTACTTCCTTTCAACAAAACAAAACCTAGGCTCAGGAGAAAATTCTGTATTTGATATTCTGATGTAATACAATCTCTTTCTTCTTTTAGTGATGTCTCCAAAATTAATGAAGGAATTGGTGACAAAATTGGAATGTTCTTTCAAGCAATGGCAACATTTTTTGGTGGTTTTATAATAGGATTTACTCGTGGCTGGAAGCTAACTCTTGTGATTTTGGCCATCAGCCCTGTTCTTGGACTGTCAGCTGGTCTTTGGGCAAAGGTAGGTAGAGCCTGTGAGTCCAGATTTTAAACTCTTTCCCATGATCCACAGAAGAGTCTTTTACCACAAAAGAGCCACAATTACCCTAACTGTGAATTTTATACACGATTTCATACTTTTTGTTAAAATGTAAGCAGAATAAGCTGAGCTGGTTCTGTAGTATTTCATGCTGTCCTTGACCATGTGATTATCTGTAAAAAGAGATAAAAAGAAGGAAGGAAATCTTAAGCTCCTCTTCCACCTTTATGGGAAAAGATATACTGAACCCATAAGATCTGTAAATATCAGCTTAGTTACTTTTCTATTGTTGTGAAGAGATACAATGACCAAAGGAACTTATATAGGAAAGAGTTGGGGCTTGCACACAGTTTCAGAGGGTTAATCCATTACCATCATGGCAGAGCACATGGCTGTAGGCTAGCAGGCAGGCATGGCACTGGCAGCAGCTCAGAGCTACTGCATCTTTATCCACAAGCACAAGGCAGAGCCTTGGGGCAGGGAAAGCTAACTAGAAATGACGTGGGATGTTTAAACCTCAAAACCCAGTCCCAGGGACACACCTCCTCCAACCAGGCCACCTGTCCTAATCCTTCCCAAAACATTTTCATCAACTGGGTACCAAATATTCAAATATATGAGCTCCCGAGGGTCATCCACATTCAAACCACCACAATCACTAAATATAGCAGTGCCAACTTCTTACAGAAAATAGAGATTCAAATTCAGTGAACACCAAATGCCTTACTTAGTTTTGTATATAGATTTTGTTTGTTCTATAAGTTGATCTTACCATTTTGTCGTAGTTGCAAATAGTTCTGTATACATACATACATACATACATATATGTGATTATATATATTTAAATCCATTGCAGTAAAAATAATTTATGGAAGTATGGTCCAGCCATGGACACATGTAAATCTGTAGCCTTCAGTCATGCTATTGTCAAGAAGGAACAAAAGTTCCTTTGTACTTCATATGCCTCTAACAACTTTGTAATTCGTTTTCTATGTCTGGGTCAGGACGCAATTCATTTTATAAAATCATTTGATGCAAGTGTAGCTGTGTGGTGAAGAGATATATAGCATATAGATCTTGTGAGATTAAAAGATATAAGAAATCAAAGTCCAACCAAAGTGAAGCCTAACACAGGAGAAGTCAGGCTTTAATGAAGGCAAGCATTGGGAACATTCTCTTGTCTAGTGGATGCTATTTTGTTATTGCAAACAGCAAGTCTCCTTTATTAAGCATCTGCTATGTCCACCAGATACATCTGAACCGTAGACATTAACTCACATAGTAGACAGAGTAACCGAAGTCCTGACTGAACACTGTTAATTTGTTACTCAGGGGAACATGATGGAAATGGAATTGCTGGTGGTTATCAGTTATCTGAAAGCTGGCAAAGCTCCTCTTAGTAGAACATTGAACAGATTAGGTGGAAATTTTTCACAATAAAACTTAATGGAAAACTAAAGCCTATTGATATCTACTCTAAATTGGGAAAATAGGCCAGAACTTAATTTTTAAATAACTAATCTTGCAGTGCTTCTGATAATATTTATTTAATAAAGAGAGCTCTTGGCTTTCTGGAGAGACTTTTAATTTAATCTCTGCTCTTCAAATATCTATTGATATGTATTTATGTATATTTCTTAATCTTGGTCTTTTGCTATATTAAAAACTGTATGTGTCCTAGTTCCCTTATATAGACTAAATGTTCATAATGTGATTGAAAGGCCTCTGTCATGCCCAGAATGAGGAAGTGCACATAAACACCCCCCCGCATACTTAATTGGTTCACACAGAAAAATAAATAAAATATTGGAATTATCAGACTATAATTTTGAAATAACTACCATAAAATGCTTCGTTATTTATAAAATCCTTTGAGCAATAGTAAAAACTCACCAGCTAAAAGTAAGTAATTATTAAAAAGAAAAAAATGACGACAGAAGAATATAACAGTAAAAGGAGTCATGCTATATGGTTTCTTTCAGTCTCTACAGTTGGAAATTACAGAGTAGAATATAGAATATTCAGAATCAGTAAATCTGAAAGACAGAAAATGAAGAGAGCCTCAGGGTCATGTGAGACAGTCAAAAGATTCATATCATCAATGTGAGTCTCAAAAGAAGAGGAAGAGAGTAGAGCTTTAGGATGAATCAAAGACCCAGTGGCTGACAACACAATAGCAGATGCTAGAAGTTACTCTAACCCCAAGCAGGATAAAATTAAAGAAATCCATGACAGGACACATTGTAATGAAAGTACTAAAGGCTAAACACACAAGGAAGTTTTTTGGTAAGAAGTCAGAAAAGGGAAAAAAATTATCCCTGTGTTTGGGTATTTGACTGATAGCAAGCTGAACCCAGCAGTATAAAATAGGAAAAGAATTATGACCCAGTGAGATTTAGTTCAGCTATGTAATAATGATATGGAGCTTGAAGACCCATGTAATCTACCCTACTATATACTAAAGAACATTAGTGATCATATCATCTGATAGAACACACATTTGACAATATCCAGAACTCACTGATGTCAACTCTCAGACAGTAAGAATAAAGGAATGTCACTTCACTTCTGTAGAGGACATTCAGATAACCCCCATAGGTACCTGAATGGTGAAAGGGCATCTTCCCTCATCAATATGTAAAGAAAATAGTTCTGACTTCTTTTTCATCTTTTTCATCGAAGCACTGGAACTCTAGCTGCTGTGATAAAGAAAGAAAACTCAAAAGGCTAGATTGGTAAGGAAGAAATAAAAGTATGAATTTCATGATTTTCTATAAAAATTCCAAGGAATCTACAAAAAAAAATCCTATGTGATAACTGAATAGAAAGGTCATAGAATATTAGATCAACTGCATTTCTTGCAGATTGTGATAAATATGTAGAAACTGATGGTGAAATAATTTTACCTTTCACAGTCATCCAGCTACAATAAACATCTGATAATATGAGATCTGAATATGGAAAATTATTAAATATTGATAGGGAAATCAAGGATGACTGAGTAAAGACACAGTGTAGTCATGATTTAAAACTCAATGTAAAAAAGTTATCAGTTCTTTCTAAACCAACCTATAAATTGGCAATGTCTATAAATTCCATTAAGGACTTTTGTAGTAATATGCAAGTGAGAGTGTCATTAAGAATTACAAGGAAATTCATGGGCCCTAAAATAGATAAAGTAGACTTTGAAAAGAACAAAGCTGAAGGAAGAAGTCCACCTGATATTACAGACTAATCTGTCATTACTAAAATCAATGGAAGACTAGACATACAGATCACAGAGTGCAGGAAACCAAGAAGTAGACCTGTGCAAATATTGTCTAGCTGATTTTGTTCCTGGTGCTTAGGGTTGAATACAGGAATTAATATATGTTATGCAAGTACTCTACCAGTAAACTACAACCCCACACCCAAGCCTCTGAGATTACAAACAGACACATACACACACACACACACACACACACACACGCACGCACGCACAGGGTGGGGGCAGTGTATCAGAAGGAAATTTGTTTGGCATCATTAAGTATCAGTGAAATGCAAATTAAAGCACAATGAGGTGTCAATGAATATTTCCCAGAATGGCTGAAACAAAAATGTGAACTGCCAAATTCTGGAGAGAGATACTGGATCACTCAGATCACTGGTGGCATGGCAAGTTTGAAAGACACTCTTGCCATTGTCTACGACTTTTAAAAAAATTTGTGTGTGAGTGCTTTACCTGCATGTTTGTATGTCTTAGTTAATGTTTTATTGCTGTGAAGAGACACCATGACCAAATTCTTTTAAAGGCAAACATTTAAATGAGGCTGGCTTATAGGTACAGAGCTTAGTCCATTATTGTTATGGCAAGAAACATGACATGTAAGCTGACATGGAGCTGGAGAAGGAGCCGAGAGTTCTACATCCAAAATGGCAGGCGGCAGGAAGAGAGAGACACTGGGATTGGCTTGAGTATTTGAGCCCTCAAAGCTTACTTCAGTGATACATTTCCTCCAACAAGGCCACACCTCCTAACAGTGCCAGTCCTCATGGGCCAACCATTCAAACACATGAATCTATAGGTACCATACCTATTCAAACCACCACAGAAATAAAACGATGCTGACATAAAAACCTACACATGGTAATTTATAGCAACTTTATTCATATTTATCCTATTTGGAAAAAAATCCAGATCTTCAACAGATGAATTAGACAAACAGTATGTGCCTACTGTGCAGTACACCCAACAGAGCGCTGCTGATTCATGCAGCAAGCTGTATGGTTTTCCAGAGAATTATGTTGTCTGAATTACTGCATAGCACCAAGAGAAAACATACTATTTGATCACATTTATGTGACACTCTTTTTATTGCTGTTTTTGGTTTGTTTGTTTCATTTTGTTCTTCAAGGCAGGGTTATTCTGTGTAGCCCTGGCTGTCCTGTGTGGAAGACCAGGCTGGTCTTGAACTCAGAGGTCCACCTGCCTCTGCCTCCTGAGTACCACCACACCTGTTCCTATACAACGTTCTTAAAATGATATAAAGATGACAACATATTAATGGATGCCAGAAGTTAGAGATGTTAGGAAAGAGGAAAGGGAAGGTCTAGGACAGAGGTAGTAGGTCTATAAAAGAACCTTGAAGGCCTTAGACTCAACATTGATGACAGTCACATTAATCTATAGAAGTTACAACACTCCCTAGAAGTAAAGTCACACATGTGTAAATTGGTAAATGTGAATAATGTTGTGGGAGAATATCGATGTTAAATTTCTAGTTGTGATACTTCTGTAATTTTCAAAATATTACTATTGGAGGACACCAGATAGGAACATATATGTCGGTGTATTGTTTTTGACATGCGATCCTATAAGACTCTCAGAAGAAATCATTAAAGAACACAAGATTTATAAAATAATAAAACCAAAGCCTACATTAAGAAATAAAAGACTGGATTCAAATGTGGTCAAAACACCTGTAATAGTTTGAAATATTGTTTCTAAATGTATTACTTTGAATATAAAAATACTTGTATTAGTCATATTTTAACTTTCCATTGCTTTATACTGGAAATTAGTTGATTAATTGGATTTTTATATCCTTGAGAAAAGATTAGAAAAGTTCTTTCTCTTTCTTTTTGCAGTTTCTTCCACTTGTGGGAAGTAGATTATTTTTTCTCACATATGCTGATTACAGTTTCCCTCCTTCTACACTCTCTCTGCTCCTCTCAGTTCCTCCCCACACCCCCCCATCTGGACCCTTTCTGACTATCATGAGGCTTCTAAGGGATATAGTAAGATAAAATCTAACACATTGGAATTGGGCAAAACAAACAGAAAAAAAGAGAGCCATAAGAAAGCACAAGATATCATACCCTAATAAGGGGAACAGGGACTGTTTCTGACATGAACTCAAACTCAATGGCAGCCGCTCCCCCCATCCCCTCCCCCCCCTCCCGCCCAGGGAGGAGCAGCCCTGCTAGGCCACAGAAGAGGACTTTGGAGCCAGTCGTGAAGACACCTGATAAACCAGTATCAGATGAAAGGGGAGGAAGTTCTCCCCTATCAGTGGACTTGGAAAGGGTCAGGGAGTGGATGAGGGTGGGAGGGTAGGATTGGGAGGGAATGAGGGAGCGGGATACAGCACAGATACAAAGTTAACAAGCTGTAACTAATATTAAAAAAATAAAAATTAAAAGAAAATTAAAAAAAAAGAAAGCACAAGAAACAGAGACCCACTCATTCACACACTCAGGAATCCCATAAAAACACTACCTTGGAGGCCTTTTTATATATGCAGAGGACCTGGTGCCAGCGCCATGCATTCTGTTTCAGTCTCTGTGAGCTCATACGTGTTTTGCTTAAAAACTTAAAGAGACTTATTCTTCTGATGTCTTCTATCCCCTCTGTCTCTTACACTCTTTCTGTCTTCCCTTCCTTGGGGTTTCCTGAGAATTTTTTTTTTTTCTTTTTCTTTTAATAGACATGATCTGTTATAAGGAAAAACTTAATTTAAAATTTTTTCGTATTCATGTCTGCATACAATTATGGAAGATTATAGGTAGAAAAAAGATTTGTTGAATTCAGAGATACTTTGGATAGATTAATAATTAAGAGAGCATATTTTAATTCCTTGGTAAATAATTTTAGTAGGCCTGTTGTTGGCTGCCTCCATTGTGAGCACCACAGGGAGTAGAGAGAAGTGGAGAAGCTTTGCTAAAGCAAGTCATGTGATCCCCCTGGAGTCTGAAAACCTGCTTACTTAGGGGTGGTGTTGACCCAGAACCTTGAAAGCTTCCTTAGTTCACAACAGCCCTAAGAGGATGGCTTTGAGAAGGGTCAAGGTCTGGATAATCAGTGGTATTTGTTTCAGGCATCAAAGAGGACAGATAAGCACTGTCAAAATAAAAAAGACTTTGGTTCTTTTAATGACAAGACTAAATCAATTCCTCTTACTTAATAGTGAGAACAAATGACCGTGATTACATATTAAAAGGACATGACGCTGTTAAATCAGAACATTGTGAACTGGTTGTGCATAATGCTTAGATGGTTGACCACTTTGTCATTCGTGGTCCCAAGAGTAACCTTAGTCCTTTCCCATGCCAGTTGAGTCAGCTGTCTTCTTGCTTCAGAGATTCACTCCAGTAGTTGTTAGTCCACGCTATGAAACTACGTGGACCCAGACGTGACTCCTGGGTATCCCACTTACTGCCTAATTACTTGACCTGTCAAGTTTCCATTCCCAGCTTCTGTATAAGCTAGAAAAACCTATTTCCCTTATAATGGAGAAGAACATGTTGCAGCCAAAGAATAGCCACACAAACCACTCAGACTCTGGTCTCAGTCACATATGTATGGTTTATTGAGCGAACACCTCCCAACCCCAAGACAAGGCTGATTGCAATCAGGGGCACAGTAGACTCAAGAGCCAAACTATGATATTGACCTGGTTTTAGGGTAGCCTTTTTATAGAAAAACCAAAAGAAGAGGGGAGAGCAGTAGTACATTTTGGCTAACCATACAAAGCAGTATTACATTTTTTGCTAACTAGACAAAGTATTATCAGCTAACCTTCAAGCTGATTTGTCCTAAGTAAGGTGAGAGAGGCAGTAGTTAGGGTCTTTCAGAGTATAACTTGAGTTGTGCCATTGTACTTGTATTCTTCTTATGTCTTATAACATAAAGTGCAACCAGAGTATAGCCAAATGAGGAGATAACAAAATGTGAGTTATGACACCATTGAGTCATAGTAAAATGTAAGGTTAATTTGACCCTCTGGCAGGGTTTGTTACTGTTAGCTAGGAATAACTACTACTAGGAAGCAAAGTTTTTAAAAAAAATTGAACGTAATTTCACCTTATAAACAAAATGGAAGTTGACTACAAAAATGTCTGCAAGTGTGTCATTTGCCACAAAAAGCAGGTCTCAACAAACAAATGAGATCTTATATGTCTCAGGGAACTAGGAATGTTTCTTAATAAATGCTCAGGAATCAGACAGCTCAAAAAGCATTGATCAAACAAGCAAACAAAAATCCCTGGTAGATGAATGTGCTATTTCTCCAAAGATTACCAGCAGAGGAAACTGTGGCTTGGTCCTCTGCCACATTCTTCTAGCCTCTCACCTCAATACTTCTGACCCAGGGTATCATTGACACTTATTGGGAATACCTCATGTCCATAAACCCATTTTCTATAATAGCTTTTGACTATATTGTGGCATGTTTTCTTTTTTGAACATGAACATCTGACAAAAGCTCTAATTGTTGTTTCGACCAGGGTCCATGAAATAGTGTGAAATTGTCTGGTTTGCCTAATTTGTTATGCATCTGCATTGCCTGAAAAATTCTGAAGAAAAAGGAACATGAGATGTCTTATATATGTGTGTGTATGTGTATGTTAATAGAATATAATGGCCAAAGACAACTGAAATATATTAATTTTTTACATGTATTAATATTCAACCAGTGTTTGTGTATTTGTAGCTGTTAAATTTTTAATAATCTGAGGTTGCATTTTAAACAGATATTATCTTCATTTACTGATAAAGAACTCCAGGCATATGCAAAAGCTGGAGCAGTTGCTGAAGAAGTCTTAGCAGCTTTCAGAACTGTGATTGCATTTGGAGGACAAAAGAAGGAACTTGAAAGGTTCGAATTTCTTTTTCCAGTATGAATGTTAATTCTGTCATCCCACCTGCCATTTAGGATGGCAATGTTAATTATGATATTTTTCTCATTTTTTAAATAAGTCAATTCATACATATTACAGCATTAGTAACATTCTGGAAAACATGCCATTGTACTTGTATTCTTCTTATATCTGCAAGATTTACTTTAAAATATTATTGGCAAGTACAGTAGGAATGGGATGGCATTCTGCCAGATGTCACTGACCCATATTCTCATGAAGTATAAATTCGTGCAAGAGGGGAGAAAGGACATAGGCAACTACAAAGAAGCAAAAATTTAGTATAGTACTTGGCAGTTGTATGTTTTGGAGACAAAATGTTATAAGAGAGTCAAAAGGGTACATTTCAGAGAAACATTAAATTATAGTTTTAAATGCCCCCAAATGACCAAACAACTGTTTTAGGGTGGAACATTTTAAGTGTAGTGGTCAGAGAATCCCTCTTGAGGATTTTATCTAGGCTAAGACCTGAGGTGAGAAAGGTATTCAAAAGCAAAGATAGGGATAGGATGGGTAGAAAGACTAGTTTACCAAAGGTCCTGGGGTAGCAAAAGCTTCAATGTAGTTTGAGACATATTACAAGGCATGTGAACCTGGAGCTCATATCAGCGAAAGAGATTGGGGTGCAGCCAAGGTGTGGGGCTGCGGAGAAGAGATGGGGTTTTAGTACAAGGGTATGGGTGAGTCCTAACGTGTGAAACTGAAGAGTGGCCATCCGCAGGGTTTACAGAGCTGCTTCTCTTTCTGGACTGGGTCTGGTGAGTAGATAAGAGCATTCAAAGGGTGAGATCACAGAGATCAGTGGGAGGGCTGATGTCCTGATCCAGGTGAAAGGGATTATGTTAGCCTGACCCAGAGGTAGGGCCAAGACAGGGGTGGAAAGTTACCTGATTTGAGAGTTGGAGTTTAAGTCAACTTGGAGTTAGAATTGACAAGATTTTGTAAAATTTCTAAATTACTTTTTCAGTTTATTTACTGTGGTGTGTGTGAGAGAGATTGATTGTCTTGGTGTGTGCATATATACACATGGGTACACACCATAATCACAGGACAACTTGTAGAAGTTGGTTCTCTCCTTTCTCCAGGGGGTTGCATGAATCAAACTCAGGTTGTCAAGTTTGCTGGCAACAGTGCCATCCTGATAGCCCCAGTTAATTATTAGACCAAATGAAATCATTTGGTTTTCTTTCTAGTTCTTATGTGCTTTCAAAAATCAGTCTTTGACTTTCTCTTCAAAATAGCTGGTGCATAAGGAATTTAGCTCTCTTGGAATAGAAATTTAACCATAACTGTGAATGTATTTAATCCAATAGGATAGTGTTGTCCTCGGCTTACAAAACATTTTCTTGCCGAGTAGGTGGCATGTGCCTATCATTGGGGGAGTTGAAATAGGAAGATCCTGAGTTCCAGGACAGCCTGAGCCTATGTAGTAAGATCCTATCAAAGAACACATCCAAACTTTGTATGCATGCTTTTCTCACTTGTTACTTGTAAATGTTTTTCTGTTGGTATTGATTTCTGTTTGCTTAACCAAAATTGATTCTGGCACAATTATATAAATAGCTACTTGCACATTAACAAGTCTCTTCATAGTAATTAAGAATATTTTCTAAGCACTGTTTTGTTAATTGTGCACTTCTATTTTTAATTATAATTTCCCTACTATAGCCTCTAATGAATGGATGGTTTTTATGTCTGGCTTGATATCAATGACAAAAACTAGTCTTTAAAAAGACTTATGTAAATGTAGTATTGTTTATGTTTCTTTCCTCTTCTATCCCCTTATTTTCATTTACCTATATCTATCTGGTATTAGCATCTATCTGTTATGTATCTGGCATCTAAATGAATTTTTTTCCTTGTTGTTGATTTTTCCTTTGCAAATGTTTCCTCTGGCTTCGTAGGACACCATACTATCAATGAAATGGTTTCAGCGTTAGCCTCGGTAAGCAAGAATTGGAAAAAAGGAGATGATAGAGCATGAACAATAAGTCTTTAAGTTTCTTAAAGTTGTCATGGAAAATATATGAATATAAGAATTATTAAACTTAATCTTAGGTCAGCTTCTAACTTGATACACAAACACACATACACACTTAACTAAAATATGTTTCTTAAAAATAATTTTTTGCTAAGAAATTATAACTGACAATTTAAGGGTATGCATATATCATCACTATAAAATTCTCTCTGAATTTAGTCTTTAGTAGATGTGATTCTTATGTAAATACAGTGTAGTGTTTTTATATCTTGATGAAGTAACTAGCTAAAAATAAAGTAGTCACCAGAACAAGAAATAATACATACTCTGGACAGGATTTGAACTCTTGATGTGCCTACTAATTAAATGAAATCTTCAAAGAAAACTGAGAGTGTATAGTATTCATGTAATTATGTATTTGATGATTCAAAGACCGCCAAATAAGAATTCTATGTAGAAATATATTCTTTTAAAATTTTGTTTTATTTATATATTTATTTATTACTATTTATTCACTTGGTACCCCTCTGAAGCCCCCTTCCTTGTCTCCTCCCAGTCCCCCACACCCTCCCTCTTCTTCCCCTATGCCCTTTCCTAGTCCACTGATAGGGGAGGTCCTCCTCCTCTTCCATCTGACCCTAGCCTATCAGGTCTCATCAGGGCTGGCTGCATCATCTTCCTCTGTGGCCTGGCAAGGCTGCACCCCCCAGGGGGAAGTTATCAAAGAGTCAGCCACTGAGTTTATGTCAGAGACAGCCCCTGTACCCCTTACCAGGGAACCCAGTTGGAGACTGAGCTGCCTATGGTCTAAATCTGAGCAGGGGTTCTAGGTCCTCTCCATGCATGGTCCTTGGATGGAGTATCAGTCTCTGCAGACCCGCCTGGGCCCAGGTTTTTTGGCTCTATTGTTCTCCTTGTGGAGTTCCTGTCCCCTCTGGGTCTTTCTTCCTCCCTCTTCTTCCGTAAGGATTCCAGAACTCTGCCCAAAGTTTGGCTATGAGTCTCAGTATCTCCTTCAATATCCTGGTGGGTAGTCTTTTAGAGGTCCTGTATGGAAGGCTCCTCTCCTGTTCCCTGTCTTCTACTTTCAATATCTGTCCTATTTGCCCTTCTGAATGAGGATTAAGCATCTTCCCTAGGTCCTCCTTGCTGTTTAGCTTCTCTAGGGCTATAGATTGTAGTATGTATATCCTGTATTATTTGGCTAATATCCACTTATAAGTAAGTATATATGGATATTAGAAATATATTCTTATAACTTAAAAATTTTAAGACACTTTCTACAAGACAATGATTACTCTTGTGGTTCTTCATGGAGCTCAAATAAAGAATGTAAAGGTTTGGTTGTGGTGGCACACACTGTCATCCCAACACTTGGGAGGTAAAGGCAGGGTAATAGTGAATTCTAGGCTAGATTCAGAGTGAGACCCTTTCTCAAAAATTCAAACCAACAAAAAGTATAAAAACAGAGTATGATTAAAAAATGATCCATCCTTTCTTCCTAATATTATCTTTTAATCTGCATTTGCAGAGTTATCTCCTTTTCTTTGACTCTGGTCCTATTAGCTTTTTTTTTTTTTTCCTTGCTCTGCTGTGTAGGTCTCAAATGAAAGCGATGGACACCCTCTTTTAACTTTAATTGTCCACTTCCTGGACCTAAAAGTACTTGAATTGTAGTTTGAGAATAAATACTAAGTTGTTTGACCCAGAGAGAAAAGTATCTATCAGTAGAAACCACACTGTGTGGGGTTGCTATTTGCTTTCTTGGTTTTGCCCCCTTTCCTTTGTATTGCTCTAAAACTGTAGTTCTCAACCTGTTGTGACCCCTTTGGAGGGGAATTGAAGAATCCTTTCATGGGAGTTGCATATCAGATAGTTACATGACAATTCCTAACAGTAGCAGAATTAGTTATGGAGTAGTAATGAGATAATTTTATGGTTTTATAATTTTATAATTTTATGAAGAGCTATATATATTAAAGGGTTGTAGCATTAGGAAGATTGAGAACCACTGCTCTACCAGCTTTTAAGGTTTTCTTCAAGACTTGTGCTATGAATAGGTTTCAAGGCTGTTGACAGGCTGATTTTTTTTTTTCTCAGCCTTTGCTGCCATAAGGCTTTGAATGTTATGTCCTGCCAGGCTACTCTTCGTTACTCAACAGCAGGCACACATGGCATGATAAATGTTAGAAGGGATAGATGGGCCATATGTACAGAGTATAAATAAGGATACTAATGATGGACTACCCAATGATGGACATATATATACTCACATATATATATGTGTGTGTGTGAGTGTATTTTAGCTATTTTTATTTTAATTATTATTATTTATTATAGTTTATTCACTTTTTATCCCTGCTGTGGTCCCCTCCCTCGTCTCCTCCCAATTCCACCTCCCCTTTCTCCCCCTATGTCCCTCACCTAGTCCCCCGATAGGGGCGGGTTTTTTATTTTTTAATTTTTTTAATAATTATTCACTTTGTATTCCAGCTGTGGCCCCCTCCCTTGTCCTCTCCCAGTCTCTCCCTCCCTCCCTCTTCTCCTCCTATGCCTCTCCCCTAGTCCACTGATAGGGGAGGTCCTCCTCCTCTTTTATCTGACCCTAGCCTATCAGGTCTCATCAGGACTGCCTGCACCGTCTTCCTCTCCAAGTGGATTCCCTAGTAAGGGAAGCAAGGGCTATCTCTGACATGAACTCAGTGGCAAGCTCTCTGATCACCTCCCCCTCTGGGGGTGCAGCCTTGCCAGGCCACAGAGAAAGACAGTGCAGCCAGTCCTAATGAGACCTAGCCTATATTCTTAAGCCAAGTATCTTTAATAGGTCAATGACTTTAAAACAGGTATGGAAAAGAGATAATTTCCATAGCTTATTTAAATGTAAAAAAAAATATTGCATAGCATTTCATAGCTCTCTATATGCCCTTACATGTATTATCCTGCAATTGGTCATTCTAGGAGGCAAGGTAGGAAGCAAGCTGTTCAAAAGCTTCCCTCAGTTGTAGAGATTTAAATGACCTGTGTTTGAGAATTTCTAACATTAAATCTCTTTTATTAATTAATTTTAAAATAACATAGATTTTTAAGCCAGGCAGTGGTGGCACACGCTTTTAATCCCAGCACTTGAGAGGCAGAGGCAGGTGGATCTTTGTGAGTTTGAGGACAGCCTGGTCTAAAAAGTGAGATCCAGTACAGCTGGGAATACACAGAGAAACACTGTCTCAGAGGGGATTTAGCTCAGTGATAGAGTGCTTGCCTAGCAAGTGCAAGGCCCTGGGTTCGTTCCTCAGCTCTGGAAAAAAAAAAAAAAAAAAAAAAAAAAAAAAAAAAAAAAAAAAAAAAAAGAAAGAAAAAAAGAAAACCAGAAACCAAAATCAAAACCAAAACCAAAAAGGATATATAAAGCAAAAATAATTGTTTTTCCTATCTTCTCTTTTATGTATGAAATAATACATGTTCTAGAAGCTAGCTAAATATTACCTTACTGATTTCACTGTTGCTAAGGCATACATAAAAAGAACTTTTAGAAGACTCACACAGGTAAAGTACTCTCTCCCATACCTCAATATCATTTTCTGCAAGAAGATAAAATGGGAATAACATGGCATAGGGACAATACATAGAGAAAAATGCATGCATGCTACAGGGTTGGGCACATTATAACTGATCAGTGACAGTCATGCCACACTAACCCATTTCAATAAGGCTTATACGTCTACATAACTATTTCATTCTTTCTCCCAGGTACAATAACAATTTAGAAGAAGCTAAAAGGCTTGGGATAAAGAAAGCTATCACAGCCAACATATCCGTTGGTGCAGCTTTCCTGCTCATCTATGCCTCTTATGCTCTGGCATTTTGGTATGGGACTTCTTTGGTGATCTCAAAGGAATACTCCATTGGACAAGTGCTCACTGTAAGTCAAACATGAATCAAAAACAAAAAAAAAACCCAGATCATTAAAAGTTCTAATGGAATTGAGTAGTGGTTGCAAAAATATATACTTTGAACAAGTATTAAATACTAGAGACATGTATTATTAAGTTAAAGAATTGAAAGAAATTAAATGCATCAATTTTGTTTTATATAGATCTTGTGTACAATTTCTACTGTACCATCATTTCCATCAGGAGTTCCAGGTCCCTATATAACAATGTAGAGTTTGGTTTTACCACCCCTGACATAGCCTAAATATTAACATTACCAACTTCTGCAATGTGAATTTTCATTTGATGGAATTATTTTTTGTATCAAACTTGATACTAAGTTTTTCACTTTTATTTTCTAGTTTATTATTCACAACACAAGTAGAAGAACATACAGTTAATATATAAATTAAATCACTAAAACTTTATTGAATTCTAAGTCCCATAAAGTTCACAATATTAACCACTTCATTTCTGCCCCTTGTCAACGTGGGGCAGACATCACTTTTAAGCCAGAGCATTTCTTCTCTTGTCTTTAAAGGCTCATGGCCATCCCATAATATCAAAGGCATTCAAAAATGCCAAGTCTTTTTTAGTTCCAACAGTATCTGTCCAAACCTATAAACATAATAGTTTCTGAGACTCGGAAGTCTTTTAAGTGAACCCCAATGACATCAGATTTTAAGTTACATTTTCCATATATCCTGGCACAGAATAAACACTCATATTCTAAAAGAAAAGAATGGAGACAGCACAGGAAATATCACATGACTAAGACCAAACAGAAAAAGTACCAAACCCTACATTGCTATGTAAGGCATCTGGGACTCCTGATGTAATCATCTTGACTCCAAAAGACTTGGGTAGTAAGTCCTGTCCTTCAGCTTGGGTCTCTATAGTACCCATATCCTCTGTCTTGGGCTATTTCTGTCTAACAGTCCTGGCATCTTCAGTATCTTCGAGTCTTCAATATCTTGCAAGTTAGGCTTTACCTAAAGCTTCACATATGATCTTTCAGGGCCTCCCTGCTAGGAATCCAATGTAACTACACACTACATGGTTTCAGTGACTTTCTGAAACCTTGTCACATGCCACCACCCCCACCCCAAGTCCTAATGCATCCCTTATGCCTGTAAAGCCATGTGGATGATGCTATAAAGTTCTGTTGCCAGTTCAAGGTGTAGTCAGAGTCCTTGGATCACAGTTGCACTGAGCTCTGTATACCTATCAGGCTGGTCCTGAAGAATTACTTCCCTAGGGGGCAAGGAACTGCTTTAGCATTTTCTGTTTAGGCTTTCTCCTTTCAAATGGATTGGAGTCTTGAGTATGTAGGGTCTTCTAGGTGATTCTAGATTCTGTCAAGTCTACAATAAATGTTAACCATCATAAATATTTCCCACATTTTAGACTATATATATGCACAAAAGATTATATCCTTGACATTTTATTTTAAGGCAATGAAATTATTTACAGCCAAGCTAACCACAAGGAAACAGAGTTAGCCACAGACCATAATTCTTTCTGTTTCTTAAAATAGTTCCCTTTCTAAGGATTCAGATGTATAACATGAATTTCATAATTACTCCTTGTTTTTTGTGTTGTTGTTATTCTTTGAACTGTGCTGTATCTAGTATATATGGGGATGTTTAGGTAGGGACAGATTTTACAAAGATAGTTTTGTTTGTTTTGTTTTTTGATACTAAACATAGATAAGGCTAAGTTGCAATGTGATAAGAACTGCTTGATTTTTGAAACGGAGAAGCTGATTTTATTTTATTTTTACTGAAGATTGCTTAGCATATGTTTGTACCACTGAGTTATAGTCCTAGTCCTAGGAATAGGTAATTTCGATCTAGTATTCATGGAGCCTAAAGCTGCTTCACAATCAGAAAGCATTCAGAATATAGACTGAAGGTTCAAATTCCAGCTGCACTATATACTAGCAGTAAGGTTTGAGCAAGCATCAAGTCTTCAAACTTTCTGCTAAATGTGTGACAGGAATCATGTGTCCTAGCTGTTAGGGCTCTAAAGACTAATGAGTAACAAATACAGACTCATTTAGCAAAGTCCCTTCAAACTTTGGGCAGAGTGCAGGGAATCTTATAAAAGAAGGGGGAGACAGAAAGACCTGGAGGGGACAGGAGCTCCACAAGGAGAGCATCAGAACCAAAAAATCTGGACACAAGGGTCTTTTCTGAGACTGATACTCCAACAAAGAACCATGTGTGGGAGATAACCTAGAATCCCCGAATAGATGTAGCCCATGGCAGCTCAGGGTCCATGTGGGTTCTCTAGTAAAGGGAACAGAGACTGTCTCTGACATGAACTCAGTGGCTGGCTCTTTAATCACCTCTCCCTGAGGTGGTAGCAGCTTTACCAAGCCACAGAGGAAGACAATGCAGCCAGTCCTGATGAAGACCTGATAAGCTAGGGTCAGATGGAAGGGGAGGAGGACCTCCCCTATCAGTGGACTTGGAGAAGGGCAGGGAGGAGATGAAGGAGGGAGGATGGGATTGGGAGGGAATGAGGAAGCCGGCTACAGCTGGGATACAAAGTGAACAAACTGTAATTAATACAAAAAATTAAAATTAAAAAAGGAAAAAAATATGCAACAACAAAAACTTAAAAACACAGGTTTTTAAGCACCATGATTCCTGAATGATTAAAGCAAATGGATGGTGATATTAGTTCTTATCAGCTGCCAACATAAGTAAATAAATCAAGTTTTCAGTGACAAGTATTTTGATCAAAACAATCCCCAAACTTGGAAAATGATGATGGAGAGATTTAACCCCATAAAGAATCATCCCTTGTGTGCTTAAAACTTACAGAATAGTTTCATAATCAATGACACCTGATACAACTTACAGAGTGAACAAATAGAGTTTTAAATGTTTTTGCTCATGAAAAGACAATACTCTGGGAGAATGTCTTACAGATATATAACTGTTTAATACTAATCCAGGATTTGGACTTTTGTTTTCTAACTTGCTCTATAGTGTTTGTTTCCATTTCACAGCCATCATGATCTAAATAAAGATTATTAATTATTGAGGAAATGGAAAAATATTGTATTATAACATAACACTCATATAGAACTTGTATGTTAGAGCTTCATTAAAAAGGAAGATTAATTCTGCATGGTAGGCTAAATGAAATTTGAAAGTTTAGAAGTGTTTTCAGATGTTCGATTTTTATATTTTCAGCTGAAAACACACATCATCTTTAAGAAATTTAGTGTGTTTTGATATATGTATAAAATGTGGAGTGATTACATTAAGCTAAATAATCTCAGTTGCTTCACTTTACCCACTTGTGATATTTGAAATTTATAATTATGAAATGTTAAGTTTATTTAATACCCTGTATTATTACGTTGCCATGACATTTACAAATGTAATTAGTTTTATTGGCAGAAGGAGGAAATATGAGAGAACTGTAGGAAAGATTAAATAATTCAGAGGCTTTTCTTCACATCGCTCAGGTCTTCTTTTCTGTATTGATTGGAGCATTCAGTATTGGACAGGCAACTCCCAACATCGAAGCCTTTGCCAACGCAAGGGGAGCAGCTTATGAAGTCTTCAATATAATTGACAATGTGAGTCCCACCTGCCCCTCATCCATCTGGTAAAAGCGATTCCAGTTGAGATAGTTGCACTGTCATGTTCTCTTAGCCCATCCCAAGGCTGCTGTACAAAGCAGTTACTGTCACTTAGTGATCTTTGCTTCTCATCCATACAGAAGCCCAGTATTGACAGCTTCTCAGTGAGTGGACACAAGCCAGACAACATTCAGGGAAATTTGGAATTCAAAAATATTCACTTCAGTTACCCATCTCGAAAAGAAGTTCAGGTATGGTGGCAATTTTCTATTAGATGAAAAGTCCCTAATAGTTTCTAAAAGGTTGTAGAGAGAGGATTGCATGTAAAATCAAGGATGCTGTTGAATTGAGATGCCAGCACGTAGAACCTGCATGCATCTCTGACTGGGAATTGTCCTAACTAACGCTGACTTCTCCCGTGCCTTCGCAGATCTTGAAGGGCCTCAACCTGAAGGTGCAGAGCGGACAGACGGTGGCCCTGGTTGGCAACAGCGGCTGCGGGAAAAGCACCACTGTCCAGCTGCTGCAGAGGCTCTACGACCCCACAGAGGGCACGGTGAGAGGGCACGCAGCCCGCAGCAGTTGCCAGGGCCCAGCGTTCTGGCTCCGTGATCCTAAAGCGTGAAACCCACACATGTTGTTTCAGGTCAGTATCGACGGGCAGGACATCAGGAGCATCAACGTGAGGTATCTGCGGGAAATCATTGGCGTGGTGAGCCAGGAACCTGTGCTGTTTGCCACCACGATCGCTGAAAACATCCGCTACGGCCGGGAGGACGTGACCATGGACGAGATTGAGAAAGCCGTCAAGGAGGCCAACGCCTACGACTTTATCATGAAGCTGCCCCACGTGAGTCGTACCTGACCGCTCTCACCCCAGGCTCAGAGAGTAGAGCTGGCCTGATGCGGTTCACGTGAACTCAGGAAACTTCTCTTAGCTGGAAGAGCTTCCTTCGCAGGGCACTCCCCTTACCGTGGGTCTTAAGCCCTCGCCTACCTGACGTGATAGCTGTGTGCATTTCTTGGGCATCATCTTGGTGGACATCCCAGGTCGAAATGTGACCCGAGACAGTTGGTTGCTTTGCTTTATTTTCCTGTTTTCTGATTGTTTAATTGTAGAAATTTGACACCCTGGTTGGCGAGAGAGGGGCGCAGCTCAGTGGGGGACAGAAACAGAGAATCGCCATTGCGCGTGCGCTGGTCCGCAATCCCAAAATCCTTTTGTTGGATGAGGCCACGTCAGCCTTGGACACAGAAAGTGAAGCCGTGGTTCAGGCCGCTCTGGATAAGGTCTGTGAACCCTTCTAACTAATATGTAATTTCAACGCAAAATAACATTCTATTATTTATTCTTCTTAATCTTGGTCTTAGGAAAGAAAAGCTTGATAGCTTCTATTACCTATTATTGAGGAGAAGTGCCAGGCTTCCATAATTGCTTTCGTGTTAAATTTCTGTTTCTTCCATTAAAAAAAAAATATTGATCTTATTTGTGTGTGTGTGTGTGTGTGTGTGCTTGCATGTGTGTGCAGGTGTCGGATGTTAGGTCTCCTGAAGCTGGAGGCAGTGGCAGTTATGAGCCACCAAATGTAGGTGCTTGGAGTGATCTATGCAAGAGCAAGAAGCGCTCTTGACTACTACACCATTTCCCCGACCCCACTTCTTTCTTCCTTTCTTCCTTTCTTTTTGAATTACAATAAATACGTTTTCATCAAAAGGCATGTAAGTATCTTTTAATTAAAAATGGAAAATTAGTCTTCATTTGGGTCATGAAAATGTAGAGAAATACCCTATTACTTATAGTATTGTCAACCAAAGAGAAATATGAGTAGAAGACACTTAATACCACTTGATAACTATGGAATTGAAAGGAGAAATAGCAGCCACTTTTGATGAGAACTGATAGACTAATATCAGAAAGAAGGAGAGGAGAACCTCCCCTATCAGTGGACTTGGGGAGTGGCATGCATGCAGAAAGGGGAGGGAGGGTGGGATCGGGAGGGGAGGAGGGAGGGGCTTATGGGGGGATACAAAATGAATAAAGTGTAATTAATAAAAAATTTTAAAAAAGAAAGGAGAAATAACTGGCTGAGTCTGGTTTTGAGAGTTTATAATATTATCAATAAAAAAGGAGGCAGAGGCAGGCAGATCTCTGTATTCAAGGCTAGCCTGGTATACACAGTGATTTCTAGGACAGCCACGGCTACACAGAGAAACCCTGTCTCAAAAAAAAAAAATCAAAAAGAAAATACAAACAGAAAATATAAAAATACAAAGCCACTTAATGCCGCTTGAAGAGCACGGAACTGAAAATCCTCTTTCTCCAGGAGAGGGTGCATTGAATGATGGTGCTGGAGACCCTCTGGTCCATGAAATGTCCATGAATATGACCAGAGTATGGTCTTCCTGTGATTCTTGTTAGGACTTCCTCACTAATTAGATCAGTGTCTAGCTCTGTAGTCTTCAGCATATGATGGCCAGCTCTGTGAGAACCAAGAATGTGTAGACTTTCCAAGCGAAGGTCCTTTAAAGTTGAGCTGTCCCAGGAGATGGCAAAGGTAAGCTCTTGTTTTCTCCAGCTCTTCCCTTCCAATAAAGCAGCAGTTTGTGTTCCTTTAAGCATCTTGTCAATGAGCTTAATAGGGTTTTCTATTAGGGAGGGGAGGGAGCAGTGTGCCAAATATTCTGTGATCTAAAATGGAAGCAAGTAGAATTGTGACTATATTTTTCCTCATTATTCTGCTTGTCTGTGATTCATGTCCCAGTGTCTCCTTATTTTTCCACAGTAGAACACAGTTACTCATAGAACATAGTTAAATAGTAGAACATAGATTATAGAACAAAATCAACAGACAAATTCATAGAAAATTACAGATAAAACCAATTAATGTTTATTTAAACTGTACTTACTGTATTTATATTTATATTATAAAGAAAATAATTTTTTCTTTACATTATACATTTTAGGGGGAAATTTTACATGCTTCCTCCCCTTTTCTTGAAACTATCCAAAGAATTAGTACATCATTCTTTAGTATGACTACCTAACATGTATTTCTTCTCTTGTTAGAATTTTCCACTTCTGTTTCTCCACTTGTTAACCTTGATATCTGCAGCCCATTCATGTGTGTGTGTGTGTGTGTGTGTGTGTGTGTGTGTGTGTGTGTGTGTGTTTACTTTTATTGCTTACTACTGCAAAACTACAGAGTGGTAGAAATCATAACCATTAGGAAAATTACAAAGGTTAAGAAATGTCAACAAGTTCTAGTGATTTGCATCCATTCCATATTAAGTTAAAGATGAAACTAGACACTTGAAAATATTTACATAGCTCTTCCGTTTTGCCCATAATTCTTGTAACTAGAAGCCAGTAGTGTTTCTTGAGCATTTATTTAAAGTCACAGTACTAAGTCCTTTATTAGAGTAGTTAGTCATCACAGCTGTTCTAAGAAGTGGTTACTCCATATTGGCTTTACATATGAATGAACTCAACTTTACACAGGTTCAAAGACTGCATAAAGCCCTGGATGCCAGTTGAAAACTGAAGTCTAAGCTTTGCTCTTTGATATTTGCGTCTTGATTACCCATGAGGTCAATCTTGTAAATCTTAGCTGATCCCTAGTTAGTATATATCAGTACAGCATCTTGGATAGACTTGTTTTATCTGGTGAATGCCTCAGCTCTAGGGTTTTTTATAAACTCTGGATTATCACAGAACTTTCGGCTTACTATAGGGTGTTAAGTAAAAATACTCAGAGACTTAAATTATATTAATATGTGAACATGTTTGTTTTTGTATGTATTGCAACAGAACACTATTTTACACTATTATTATATTCACTGTGCCTTTATTAAAGCCAGATAATATTTTCATTGATGGTTTTTTATAGTGTTCAAAGCAGTTATACTCAGCAAGATTAAGTTGACTGAGTTTTTGCTGTAATTATTCATGTATCAAAACCTAGATTTCTCTCTCCTCAGGCTAGAGAAGGCCGGACCACCATTGTGATAGCTCACCGCTTGTCTACAGTTCGTAATGCTGACATCATTGCTGGGTTTGATGATGGTGTCATTGTGGAGCAAGGAAATCATGATGAGCTCATGAGAGAGAAGGGCATTTACTTCAAACTTGTCATGACACAGGTACAGCCGAATTCTAGAAGCATCCTACTTTATCTTGATGATATGCTAATATTATCTTTAATCTATAGATAAATGTTACTTGATTGGATAATCTTGGAATATAGAAGTGTACTTAGGGATTTTTTTTAGAACATAGGCCTGTATCTTTATGTCTGATCCCATAGCTTGACTCAGGCCACACTACTGACTTGCTGTCTGTAGGGCAGAGTTAAGCACTACATTGTGACTTGATGATTATCAATTTATAGTACATGGTCGCTCCATGCTCTTTATCACATACAATGAGTTGAACTAAATAATGTGATAGGAAACTTCTTGACACTTCTAAATGGTTATGAAAACTCAATCTTTTCTTTTGTGTTTTGTGTTATGGGTTATTAATATTTATTATTGATTTATCTTTTAGTTAAGCAGCGGTTATTCCTAAACAAGCCGTATACCCAAATCACCACACAGAGACTAAGATGTATTTAGTTAACCTAGAGCAAGTGGTAGGCAATGATTACTCCATCCTAAACCTCCAAGCCTGCATAGTTTTCTATCATTCAGATTTCACCCATTATACTTGCTTTTAGTCATATCTTAGGTCTGGTTCATCTCTCCTCATGGTTCCAAGTCCTCTCCTGCTGATCTCTGCTCTCCTCCCTCCTTCCTTCCCCTTTCCTCCGGACCAGGATATTCCGACCTATTCTCTCCATTGCACAGAATTGGCTGGTTGTTTAATTGACAATTACAGAGAACAAATGGTGGCATGTTTACACAAACTTGAGACAAGTGATGCTTAGAATAAGCATCACAATGCAATGTTGGGGTTGAAACCAGATAGTGGGGTAGAGAAATCAGCATTTGAATGAATAAGGGTAGATTGTATACATTCTAAAAGAACATTATACCAACAGTTTTGGATTTGTTCCCTCTAGGGGACTGCTGGAGAGGTGAGCTTTGAAGGCTACCCTCTGAAGAGGCTCCCCACACCCCTAACAACTTTCTCATGGTTCTTGGGTTCAAGTGTGTGTGCGTGCTCTCTCTTTCTCTCCTATCTTCCTTCTCATCACTTGTCCTCTCTCTCTTTATCTTTCTCTCATTTCATTCATAATGAAGCTCCTCTCTATGCTTTAAAGGGAAGCTTCTCTTTAGGGCCTGGTGATATTTAGCTCTCCATGAATTGTATTCTTTCTGTTTAAATCTTTCTCCCACCTGAGACCCAATCATAGTCTTGAGGACCTCTTGTTCTAACAATACTAGAGCCTAGAAGGAATTATGATTATGTTTCAGCTTCATTTCTGCTCTACTATTTTTACATAACATTATTCAGGACTAGTGCTTTAGATTGACTTCTTCCTTCCTTCCATCCCTCCTTCCTTTTTTCCTTTTTTTTTTTTTTTTTTTTTTTGGAAAGAGAAAAAGCAAAGAAGGATAATGAAGGAAAAGTGGAAAAATTTTAAGTTGACCCATCCATCATAATAGTTAATTAGGTACGTATGATAGTGAAATTGAATGGTGAAAATGTATACCAAATTCTGAAGGCTTAGTAAAAAAAAAAAAAAAATACATTTTTTAAAAACACATTTCATTAAAAAATCTAAAACATTTCACTTTTGATTTGCTATTCTGGTTTAAAAGCAAAGTTGTTTGAGTCACATATTCCCAGGAAAGACATGACTAAAGAAGATACATGGAACAAATGTTATTTTATTTCAGCATAATCACAAATAATTCTTAATATTTAGGGTTTTTTTTTCTTCCAACATATCACACAAGAAGGAATAGTAGTTTAATTTCACCCCTTCCTTTAAGTAATTCAATAATATTTTTGATATTTATTTTCAATGATTAATTTTCATTGTTTGACCTTAAAATATTTATATTTCTTATTTATTTTAGACAGCAGGAAATGAAATTGAATTAGGAAATGAAGTTTGTGAATCTAAAAATGAAATTGATAATTTAGACATGTCTTCAAGAGATTCAGGATCCAGTCTCATAAGAAGAAGATCAACTCGCAAAAGCATCCGCGGACCACACGACCAAGACAGGAAGCTTAGTACCAAAGATGCCCTGGTATGGACAAGGATCTAATACTATGCCTTCCATCCTCCCCATGAGCCTTCCTAGTTGTATGTGCTTAGGCTGAAGAAGGAGTGGGAACTACAGCATATTTTATATAATCCTTTTGTCCTGGTCTCCAGAGTGCTCCAGAAACCTAAATGGTGATGTTCAATTTAGGTTTAAGAATAAGAATTAATAACAAGATGTTTATAAATAGAGCTTAGAATATGTAGATACTATAGTAGGTCTTTAAGTATTAATATATCTACTCTAATTATCTTTATTGGTCAATATTCTTGTCATCTGGTGAATTAAATATTTGTAGAAGCATCATTCATTTCTAAAGCAACCAAAGAGGTACTATAATGTTATCATTGTATTTGAAGGGAAAAGTTTGTCAACTGATAAGGAATAAAAATAGGATAAATATTTATTTTAAAAACTTGTACCCCTCCTGTAAGTCCAAAACTTGGATGGTGAAGACAGATTAGATATTCAAGATGTAGTTTATTTGAAGGCAGCCTTAAATAAATGAGACTCCGCCTATACAACATAAGAAAACTCTGTTCCCATGGAAGACCTCTACACAGTAAAATCAGTGATAATCTTTAAAAAAAAAATCTTGTTTTAACATATGTTTTCTAGGATGAAGATGTTCCCCCAGCTTCCTTTTGGCGAATCCTAAAGTTGAATTCAACTGAGTGGCCTTATTTTGTGGTTGGTGTATTTTGTGCCATAATAAATGGAGCCATGCAACCAGCATTTGCCATAATATTTTCAAAGGTTGTGGGGGTAAGTGATTATATCCATTTTTACATTTACTTGCGAGTCTTGACTAGAAAATGAATGAATTATCTTAAATAATATATGTGTCCTAAAAACATTTCCCGTCACATGAAACCAGCTTGGTTGAAACTATAATTGAAGTTTGGTTTACAAGAAGGATAATTTTGTAAGCATCTTTTGTGTTAGTTTCCATCTAGGTCCCTAATGGGTTTACCCTAGGGCCCGTGGCACCTGCTTCTTGAAATAGTCAATGGAACTGGGGAATTCAGTCTTTCATACTTGCCAACATTAAGCTCTGAGGCAGAATCATGAACTGTTACCTAACTGCTCTGCACAGGGACTCTCATGTTTGTCAGACTGAGCTGACAATGGCCTGTTATGTAACATACACACTGGTCAGCATATGAGCAGGCCCACACTCAACACACACTTCCTAAGACTCAAAGGGAAGCAACTCTACATTCATTAGCTTTTTCGCACTGTGACAGACACTTGAGGGTCTTTGTCTTTGTCTTTTTCCCTGTTACAGAACTGAGCCCATGTTCTCCCATGTTCTAGACAAGCGCTGCACATCCCTTGCCCTGTATTATTTTTACTTGGAGGCAAGGTCTTGCTAAGTTGCCCAGTTTGGTCTTGAGTTTGCAGGGAATTTTGCATGTAGAATTTTCTCACACTAGGTTTCAGTCTAAGGTCAGCTGCATCCATTGTTGTGAGCCTGAGGCATGGCATCCTGGCATATGAACAGGATGGCAGAAGCTGCCCCTCTCGTGAAACACAAGAAAGATAGGAATGATCAAGGAACAAGGCAAATATTTTCATGAATCCTTCTCTCAATGTGTTTTCCTTCCCTGCTGAGTAATTATGTTGTTAGTTCTTTCAGCCCCAAACATCTTTTTAACACTTCTAATCATCTCTGTAAAGGCTTCCATGTAAGGCCTCAATCAGTTGGCTGTCATTGCCACCAAGCTTTCTGACTGTAACTCCCACAGGAAATACTGGCAAAAGTACCTTTCTGAAAGGTTGAATGAATGATACCTCTTCTCATCAGCAAGAATACATAAATACATTCTCTCCTGAAACCCTTTAAAATGTCCACATAGTTGAGTTGGGGATGTAGAGATGGCTCAGTAAAATGCTTGCTGTGCATGCAGACCTGTGTTTGATCCCCAACACCAGTGTAAAAAGCCAGGTGTCATAATGAACACTTACCATTCCAGTACTGGAGAGATGGAGATAAGAGGATTCCCCAGGCTCAGTGGGCCAGTCATTCTAGCCTAATTGGGCAGCCCTGGTCCAGTGAGAAACAGCATCGTACAAACCAAAGCGGAGGGGCTGGAGATCGGCTCAGTGGTTAGGAGCAATTGCAGTTCTTCCAAAGGATCCACAGTTCCAAGTACCCACCTGGTGGTTCACAATCACTGTAACTCCAGTTCCAGGGGATCTGAACCCTCATGAGACCCAGGCACACACAGTGCACATACATACATGCAAAACCTCATACTCATAAAAATAAAATAAGTAAATCTAAAACACACAGTGGGATTCTCCTAAGCAACACACTAGCTTGACCTCTGGCCTTCATACACATGTACTTACCCCTTATAGACATACACAAAGAAATGACACGGTACAGTCTGTTATCAAGAAAGCAAAAAGGAGAGTATTTGTTTGTATTTTACAAAGAAGCTTGACACCTGATCCTCTAAGAGGAACTCGTGAGTAAAGAATTGGGTGAATTTGTGAATGACAAACATTCCTCCCTCAACAAAGGCAGAAGGTGGGGGCAGTGGGGGGTCCCTTTTAGGAGCCCTTTAGTCAACCCTGTTCCAGTGTACAAAGGCTCTTCCAATCCCTAAACTGTGTAATGTGTGAAACCGTGCAGGCATGGAATGCTTTCTTAGTGATGGAACTAACAACCCTTCAAATATTTTTTCATAGGTTTTTACAAGTGGTAAGGATGATGAAACCCAACGACGTGAAAGCGACTTGTTTTCCCTATTGTTTCTGGTCCTTGGAATCATTTCTTTTATCACATTTTTTCTTCAGGTAAATGACTTATTTTCACTTCATCCATTCAGATGGATTTATAAATATATGTACTTGTCCTTATAAAATCATTCCACGTTTACCATGGCCAGTGATAGCCAGATTATTTTTATCCTCTGACTCGATCCTCACCTTTTCTTTCCAAATCAAACATGGTCCAAATGGAAACAGTTATGTAATCACATTGAACAGATTGTTCTATTTAGCATGGAAATGGAAGGTGGAAACTTAAGTACGGGCTTTGGGGTAAGCCCGGGACATCAGTTTGGATGTACATTCTACTGGTCAATTTGAATAGTCAGAGAAATGTCTTTCCTGACAAATAAATGAAACTCCCCAACAGGTCACACTCACAAAAGTGAAAAAAAAAACAAAACCAAAAAACAAAAAAAACCAACCCTCAGTTACTGAAAAATGACAATCCTAAAATATTTTTATAATTTTTTCTTTATTATTATTATTATTATTAATTACAATTTATTCACTTTGTATTCCAGCTGTAGTTCCCTCCTTCATCTCCTCCCAGTCTCACCCTCCCTCCCCCTTTCCTCCCCTAGTCCACTGATAGGGGAGGTCCTCATCCCCTACTATCTGACCATAGCCTATCAGGTCTTATCAAGACTGTCTGGGTCCTCTTTCTCTGTGGTCTAGTTATGCCCCCTCACTAGGGGGAGGTGATCAAAGAGCCAGCCAGCCATAAGTCCATGTCAGAGATAGCTCCTGCTCCCCTTACTAGGGAACCCACTTGGACAATGAGCTGCCATGGGCTAATCTGAGCAGGAGTCTGGATCCTCTACATGCATGGTCCTTGTTTGATGCATCAGTCTCTGCAGGACCCCCTGAGGCCAGATTTTTTTTTTTTTTTGGTTTTTTTGGGTTTTTTTTTTTTTTTTTGCTCTATTGGTCTTCTTGTGGAGCTCCTGTCTCCTCCAGGTCTTTCTTTCTCCCCCTTCTTCCATAAGATTCCCTGTACTCTGCCCAAAGTATAGCTATGAGTCTCAGCATCTGTTTTGATACCCTGCTGGGTAGTCTTCCAGAGGCCCCTGTGGAAGGCTCCTGTCCTATTCCCTGTCTTCTCCTACTTCGATGTCTATCCTCTTTGCCCTTCTGAATGAGGATTAAGCCTCTTCTGTAGGGTCCTCCTTGTTATTTAGCTTTTCTAGGACTATATATTTTAATATGTTTATCCTATATTATATGGTTAATATCCACTTATAAGTGAGTATATACCAAGAAATTAGGGAAACAACACCCTTCGCAATAGCCACAAATAACATAAAGTACCTTGGTGTGACTCTAACCAAGCAAGTGAAAGACGTGAATGAAAAAAAACCTTCAAGTCTCTGAAGAAAGAAACTGAAGATATCAGAAGATAGAAAGATCTCCCATGCTCATGGATTCGTAGAATTAACATAGTAAAAATGGCCATCCTACCAAAAGCAATCTATAGATTTAATGAAATTCCCATCAAAATATCAACATAATTCTTTACAGATCTTGAAAGAATAATTCTCAATTTCATATGGAAAAACAAAAAAAACAGAATAGCTGAAACAGTCCTGTACAATAAAAGATCTGGATGTATCTCCATCCCTGACCGAAAGCTGTACTATAGAGCAACAGTTATAAAAACTGCATGGTACTGGCATATAAACAGACTGGTGGATCAATGGAATCTAATCGAAGACCCAGAAATAAACTCACACACCTACAGATATTTGATTTTTGACAAAGAAGCCAAAACCATACAATGGAAAAGAGATAGTATCTTCAACAAATGGTGCTGGTATAACTGGATGTCTATCTGTAGAAAAATGCAAATAGATCCATATTTATCACTTTAGCAAAGTGATCCATATTTATCACTTTGCTAAAGTGATAAATAAAGTCCAAGTGGATCAAAGACTTCAACATAAAACCAGACACACTAAATCTGTTAGAAGAAAAAGTGGGGAAGAGCCTTGACCTCATTGGCACAGGAGACAACTTCCTGAACAGAACACCAGCAGCATAGGCTCTAAAATCAACAATCAATAAATGAGATCTCATGAAACTGAAATGATACTGTAAAGCAAAGGATACTGTCAACAGAACAAAATGACAGCCTATAGACTGGGAAAGTATCTTCACCAACCCTATATCTGACAGAGGGTTAATATCTGGAATATATAAAGAACTCAAGAAGTTAAACACTAACAACCTAAGTAATCCAATTTAAAAATGAGGTACAAAGCTAAACAGAGAATTCTTAACAGAGGAATATCAAATGGCAGAGAAACACTTAAAGAAGGGGGAGATAGAAAGACCTGGAGGAGACAGGAGCTCCACAAGGAGAGTAACAGAACCAAAATTACTGGGCCCAGGGGTCTTTTCTGAGACTGATAGTCCAACCAAGGACCATACATGGAGATAACCTAGAACCCCTGCACAGATGTAGCCCATGGCAGCTCAGTGTCCAAGTGGATACCCTAGTAAGGGGAACAGGGACTGTCTCTGACATGAACTCAGTGGCTGGCTCTTTGGTCACCTCTCTATGAGAGGGCAGCAGCCTTACCAGGCCACAGAGGAAGACTATGCAGACAGTCCTGATGAGACCTGATAGGCTAGGGTCAGAGGGAGGACCTCCCCTATCAGTGGACTTGGAGAGGGACATTGGAGGAGAAAAGGGAGGGAGGGAAGGTGGGATTGAGAGGGAATGAGGGAAGAGGCTACAGCTGGGATACAAAGTGAATAAAATGTAATTAATATTTAAAATAAAAAATTTAAATTTAAAAGAGAGAGAGAAAAAGAAATGTTCAACATCCTCTGACTCGATCCTCACCTTTTCTTTCCAAATCAAACATGGCCCAAATGGAAACAGTTATGTAATCACATTGAAATGCAAACCAAAATGACCCTAAAATTTTTAAGAAACATGTACAAGGCATTTTGCAGCCTGCAGATCATTTGGATCAAATGCGATCACAAATGAACTAAATGTTCTTGCAGTGTAGTGTGGGAAGGCATACAGTATGGACTTTGGTATTAAACATGGGGTTGAAAATCACCTGCACGTATACAGGTTATGTGTCTAGTAATTTAAGCTGTCTAATCCTCAGTTTCCTTATCTGCAAAATGCAGAAATATTGCTTCTTCATAATTAAGAGAGCTTGTGTGACCAAGTGTTCAGACTGATGAGAGGTTTTATGTAACAGCTTATTGAGTATAATTAATAATTTACTGACTACATCAATAATTAGTCTACATGTGATTTTAAACTAAAACTAAAATAAGTTTTTTAAATTAACACATTCTAAGGCTATATTACTATTTTAACAGTTAGCCCTCATGTAAATGCTCTTAGCTAAATCTAAATTGGTTTCTTTAATACATTCTAATATATTATTATTATTTTAACAGAAAAGACATTATTCTTAACATTATAGGCACACAATAGGAAAGAAAGGATTGTTTCTTTACTAAATAACTAAAAAATTCATTGTAGAACTTGGCCTTGGTAGAATAAATAGGACACCGGCTGCGTGTAAGAGTGTTTTTGAAATGTGCAGTCGCTCCATGCGACGTTGGTAAGAGATTGAGAGGAAGGCAGCTGTAAGCTGATCACTCCTGCTTTGACGGTTGGGATGGTAAAGTACGGAGAGTGACAGCACGGTATAGTGGTGAGTCTGAGTCGGCCACAACTGCAAACCCACATCAAGACTAGTCAGTGGATCCAAGGACTTCCAATGTGTATACACAGCCCCGTGCCCAAGTGCTCCCTGAGGACCAGGCAGGGAGCTCATTGAGGGCAGGAGCTCAGATGGTGAGTCCCACACCCTGCTCAGGACTCCCACAGACCTTCATTCAGACTATGTAATTAATTGCTGCCTGAATCCCTGACCAGTCCTTGTTCCTCTTAGGGCTTCACCTTCGGCAAAGCTGGAGAGATCCTCACCAAGCGACTCCGCTACATGGTTTTCAAGTCCATGCTGAGACAGGTATGGCTGTCGAGGGTAGCACCCGGGGGCGAACACAACTCCTCTCTTGAGCTCCGTGGTCACAGATTGTTGGAGCTCAGGCTATAGGTTGTTTAGACTGAGATCCTTTGTTGGTCACCCTCAGCCTCCAGATAGTTATTTGCTACAGGCTGGCATAAAGAACTAGTCCATGTTGAGTTAGTGTCTCCTGATGACTCTCCACTTTTTATGCTTTTTATCTCAGCAGTGAGAGGCAATCGAAGCAGAAGTGGTCCTTTATGCTTTATCTCATCCCAAAGGCAGAGAAGCGTCAGAAAGGGTCTTCTATGCCCTTGTGCCCTCTGTTGAGTTCTTTTCTCCCATGTACTCAGAACATTCTGGCATGACTCTCTGTTGTAAAAGGAACTTTTTACTCACCGGTTTCAATTGTTGCCGCGGAGGCTTACTGCCTCTCTCTGCTAACCTAGCCTGAGTCCTGGAAGCTTCTAGCCTCCACACAATCTCACCTAGGCCCAGAATGTTTCAGCTTCTGAGACTTACTGCTTAATAAGTTTCTTGTTCTTACTGAGTTCTGGGCTGGCTGGTTCAACTCAGCTGCTCTGGCTCAAACTCCTCTCCCAGCTGACTTACTCAATCTGGCTTTTCTCTCAGCCCCTGAATTGCTCTGCTTGAACTCAGACGGACTCCAGCAATCTTTTCTAATCTTCTGGCTTTTTCTTATTCTCTGGCTCATTTTGTCTTCACCTGCGCTTAGCTTGTTTTTCTCATTCAACCTGTCTCAGTATATCTGTCCTGGTAAAACTACCTCCTCTCTCTTCATTCTCTATGTTGCTCCTTTCCAGTAGCTTCCCTTTCCTCTCTGTTCTTGTGAGAGTTGGGCATATCCTATTCTGTCAAATCTTTGTCTGCTTTGTCGCTTTTTCTGCCATTCAATTTATATATCACTTTCAAACATGTGTGCTTCCTTCTACAAACTAATTTTACCTTCATTGTTAGGGATTAAAGGTGTGTACTACCATACCTGTACCTAAGCTTTTCTTTACCTGAAACTTGCTCTCTGCCAGGTTGGCCTTGAACTCACATCTGCTTGCCTGTGTCTCCTGGATTAAAGGTGTGTTTAGATCCCAGTCGCAAGGTCTTTGGATGTGATCTCTTGCCAGAGCAGCCATGTTCTGAATTAAAATTTCTCTATACTCTCTACCTTGAGATCTTTTGCCCTCTCTTGCCCAACTTTAGATTCATTTTCATGGCCCATTCCTCACTGTTGAGATTCTTTGCTGAGGGAAGACTAAAATAGTAACCCAAATTACAGTGTTATTAGCTGTCATGACTTAATATGAGTATCTATTACATTCTATACATCCAGGTCCCTAGCCACTGACAATATTTTTAGCAGTCCACCTTCAAAGTGAAAAAGTATAGCAATCATGAAATGTTGTATGCCATCTTAAAATGTCCCTTTTAAAATTGCTAATTGTCTCTATAAATTGATGCTCCTGATACTGAAGTGTTCAACTTTTTTTTCATTATAATATGATATTGTTATTTACAAACTTATCAGATGACGTTAATAGCATCCTTAGACACACAAGACGCATGGGCTACAGTTGGATATGGCTACAAGCTGCCCCACAAGACTAGGATGTGATACAGAAGTAAAGCCTAGAATCATTCCATAGGGCCCATTTCAGTCCCCAACACTGAAAACAAAACAAAACAAAAACTTAGTTTCTTGTGTTCAACAGTGAAAAAAAATAGCAGTTTCTTGTGTTCAAATTTCTAGAAGACAGTCCCTTTCTACTCTGCCTACAACCACTTATGTATTTCTAGACAGAGTTAGCTAATGGTGTCTTTATACAAATAGCTAGCTAATGATAGTCACAGTTGAAACAGAACCCAGTGCGTGAGAGAGCACTGTTCTAAGGAAGTCCCTCTTCTTGGACTCTCCAGTCAAGCAAAATCCATCCTCTTGTTTGAAGATAGGGTCATTTGTACCTGTTTACCTGTTTGAAGATAGGGTCATTATGCAGCTAAGCATAATATTGACCTCCATCTCTCAAGTTCTGGGGTCAAAGCTTTCAAGACATATCTAGAATCTAGATTCTACATAAACAATCTGAATGTTGACCTTGGACAGTACCGAATTCCCCATTACCCTGTCAGCCTCCAGGCCAACTTCCAGGTCCAGTATACTTCAAGAGCTGAGCAGATGGTACATCTGAACATATAAAGTGCCCTGTAGAACAGGAATACCAGAGCTACTGTTTATAAGGAATAGTACTAAATTCTGCAAGGTGTTCACCTCTGAATGGCTGCTGTCTTCAAGGATGCCACATTCCAGTGGGGGAACACTTAAAAACCTGAGTACTTACTAAAAAGTCAATTGGTATACATTGTGGTGAGTTACAGCCTTTCATTTTCTAGCTTTTCAAAATAAAAAGATAGTTATTTTGTTAATACAGATTACCAATTCAGGTTACGTCTAAGAAACTAAAGTTATCTGTGACAGACATAAATTCATAATTAAAAATCACAGTATGTTTATTTTAAACTACATGAGGATGTGAGATAGCTTAGCCGTTAAAGGTGTGTGAGCTGAATTTCATCTCCAGAGCCCACAAATTAGCTAATGGTGTCTTTATACAAAGTAGAAGGACAGCACCAACTCCCACATATTGTCCTCAGCCCTCCACACATGTGCCATGGCAAGTTCATGCATCCACCCACATACAATCTATCATAAATAAATATAAAATATGAAAATGTAAGATGTTTTACAAATGAAATAGCTTATTATGTTGTTTTTACATTTTAATCTAGATTTTTTATTTGTTTTTAAATCAGTTCATTTAATCTGCCCTGAGGAGAGTTAACTATCTGCTGGTTTATCTTTTCTCTTCTGATATTAATAAATGTTTCACACTTTAATATTTCCAAACTTGAACTTTTCATTTTTCTTTCCCCAGCAGGCTTACCCCATACCTACTCTTTCTACCTCTCTGCCAGTTGTTCAGACTCAAACCATGGTGACTCCCCAAGTTGTTTAATGTTGCATCAGCCTCCTAGCTAGTTTCATTACCTCTGTTCACATCCCAATTTAGAGGCAGCCTGGATCTTTAAGGGAAAGTCTATACATAGCTAAAGGCTGTGAGAGTAAGCATCCCCACTCACACCACACAGGTCATCTTCAGGGCACTGTGGGTAACTGCACAAAGGCTTAGGGGAACCCCAGTAAGACAAATTAGGTTACCTACAGGATGGAAAGCTTTTTCACTTGTGTGTGAGCAGATCAAGTGTGCCTTGGCCTCCAGGCCTTTGCAAGAGTTGTATCTTTCATTCGCTTCTCTTTCTTCATTTTGGTCTCTGCCCACAAATTGCTTTGGAAGGGCTCCCCTGTCTCTTTCCTGCTCTGTAAAACAATACCTTTCCCAACATCTTTACCCTTCTCACCCTCCTCTCTTTCTCCAATATGTTCATTACAGTCTGGGATAGCATATCCTCCCTTCTGTGTGCCTTCCAGCTATAGAAGGAAGTCTTGAAGACATCAGCAACTTTGTCAGTGTTCATTGTTCAACACTTAGAATCAGGCTTTGAACAAAGTTGAGATTAAGACAGATGAAATAATCTATTTTTGTTTGTGTTTTAAATCCCTTTCTTGTCTATTGACTGTTACATCCTGAATGTGAAATGCAGAGGATGTGAATGCTAAACAAAACTGTCTCTGTCACCTTCCTCCTGGAGCTAAAGTCTCATAAGTAGGAATTTAAGACTATCATCACTCTTTTTGTACCATAGGACGTGAGCTGGTTTGATAATCCTAGAAATACCACTGGAGCACTGACCACCAGGCTTGCCAATGATGCTGCTCAAGTTAAAGGGGTAGGTGCTTCCTTTCAGTAACTGTTCATCCTGATCCTGTTTTAGGCTTAGCATAAACTTGACTTCTTGATAACGTGTCAACAGTCACCGGTTTAAAGAAACTGTAACTAGCTATCAGTATTAATTACTTTTCTATTGCTGTGGTAAACACCATGACCAAAAGCAACTTATAAAAAGAAGAGTTTATTTGGATTCAAAGTTCCACAGGGTTAAGAGTAAACAAACCATGGCAGAGAAATGTGGCAGCAAGGGGCAGGTGTAACAGCAGAAGCTGGAGCCGGTGAGATCACATCTTCAACTGCAGGCAGAAAGCAGAGACAGTGAACGGGAAGTGGGATGAGACTCCAAATTCTCAAGGCCTGCCCATGCTATGACAAGTAAAGTTATGAATTTAAATGCACACAGAACTGTAAAACTGCAGCATGAATCTTAAAAATTAGTTTTAGGTGGCTCTCTGCTTAAAACAAACCAATAACAAAGCCCATGCTATAGATACAAGTGTATAAAACTTAAGAGAACAAAATGAGCACTGATTAAAATAATTTTGAGCTTCCCTAAACAGACAATTGTATTGCTCTTGTGGAATCTATGCAGTAGGTCATATTGTTAAAAGGTGAGTGGGTGGGGCTTGGAGGTATAGGACCAAGGGCTGCCTCATTTACGGAAGAAAGGTTTCAATGATGTGATATAAGCACATCATTGTATGCCTGCAGTATGCCTCTGTGTTCTACACAGAAGAACAAGTATAAAGGACCCAAGAGTAGACCATACACAACTATCATAGCAAGGAGGTAAAAACACTAGATGAAAGGAAAAGGAAGACTCATATTCTGTGGTTAGCATCATACTAAGAATGGATAAGAACTCATTGTTAAGTTTTAAAAGTGGGAATTATGTGACTGTTATGAGAATAACAACTGAGAGGGGCAAAAATAGAGGTAATTACAATAATTTAGAAGGAGTCTCCTAGGGTGGTCATATTAAAGTGACAAAACGTAGTTGATTCTGAATATATTTTAAAGCTATAGCCTACAAAATTTATTGGTTAGATTAGAAGATGGATTTGAGAGATAAGGTTGATGAGTGAGATGTTTGGCCTGCATAAAAAACTAAATGGAGTTGTTCTTTAATGAAATTGGAATCCTATTGGAGGATGAGGATTGGGGAGGTATTGAGAGCTCTGTGTGTGACTTAATTAGTCATGAAGCCCACGTTAGATGACCAGCTGGACATGTAAAAAAGATAGGACATTTTGTGTATCTAGAGTTTAGTGGAGAAATCTGATCTGGAAATACACACTTTAGATTTTTTTTTTCAGTGAGATGGTAACTTTTTTTTTATTAATTACACTTTATTCACTTTGTATCCCCCCCATAAGCCCCTCTCTCCTCCCCTCCCGATCCCACCCTTCCACCCCCTTCTTCACGCATGCCCCTCCCCAAGTCCACTGATAGGAGAGGTCCTCCTCTCCTTCCTACTGATCTTAGTCTATCAGATCTCATCAGGAGTGGCTGCATTGTCATCTTCTGTGGCCTGGAAAGACTGCTCCCCCTTCAGGGGGAGGTGATCAAAGAGCAGGCCAATCAGATTATGTCAGAGGCAGTCCCGCTTCCCATTACTATGTAACCCACTTGGACCCTGAACTGCCATGGGCTACATCTGTGCAGGGGTTCTAGGTTATCTCCATGCATGGTACTTGGTTGGAGTATGAGTCTCTGGGAAGACCCCTGTGTTCAAATTTTCTGGTTCTGTTGCTCTCCTTGTGGGGTTTCTGCCCTCTCCAGTTCTTACTATTTCCCATTTCTTACATAAGATTCCATGCACTCTGCCCAACAGTTGGCCATAAGTCTCAGCGTCTGCTTTGATAGTCTGCAAGGCAGAGCCTTTCAGAGGCCCTCTGTGGCAGGTTCCTAGGTTGTTTCCTGTTTTCTTCTTCTTCTGATGTCCATCTTCTTTGCCTTTTGGGATGGGGATTGAGCCTTTTAGTCAGGGTCCCCTCTCTTGATTAGTTTCCATTGATGTACAGATTTTAGTAGGTTTATCTTATGTTATATGTCTATATGAGTGAGTATATACCTTGTGTGTCTTTCTGCTTCTGGGACAGCTCACTCAGGATGATCCTTTCCAGTTCTCACCATTTGCCTGCAAATTTCATGATTTCCTTATTTTTCATTGCAGAGTAAGACTCCATTGTGTAGATATACCATAATTTTTGCATCCATTCTTCAGTTGAGGGGCATCTGGGCTGTTTCCAGCTTTTAGCTATTACAAATATGGCTGCTACAAACATGGTTGAGGAAATGTCCTTATTGTGCATTTGAGCCTCTTTTGGATATATGCCTAAGGAGTTGGTATGGCTGGATCTTGAGGAAGCACTATTCCTAGTAGTCTGAGAAAGTACCAGATTGATTTCCAGAGTGGTTGTACAAGTTTACATTCCCACCAGCAGTGGAGGAGGGTTCCCCTTTCTCCACAACCTCTCCAGCATGTGTTGTCACTTGAGTTTTTGATCTTGGCCATTCTGATGGGTGTAAGGTGAAATCTCAGGGTTGTTTTGATTTGCATTTCCCTGATGGCTAATGAGGCTGAGCATTTCTTTAAGTGTTTCTCTGCCATTCAATATTCCTCTACAGAGAGTTCTCTGTTTAGCTCTGTTCCCCATTTTTTAGTTGGATTACTTAGTTTGTTGCTTTTCAGCTTCTTTAGTTCTTTATACATACTGGATATTAACCCTCTGTCAGATAAAGGGTCGGTGAAGATTCTTTCCCAATCTGTAGGCAGTCGTTTTGTTTTGATGACGGTGTCCTTTGCTTTACAGAAGCTTTTCAATTTCATGAGATCCCATTTATTGATTGTTGTTCTTAGAGCCTGTGCTGTTGGTGTTCTGTTCAGCAAGTTGTCTCCTGTATCAATGAGTTCTAGGGTCTTCCCCACTTTTTCTTCTAAGCGATTTAATGTGTCTGGTTTTATGTTGAGGTCTTTGATCTACTTGGACTTTAGTTTTGTGCAGGGTGATAAATATGGATCTATTTGCATTTTTCTACATGTAGACATCCAGTTATACCAGCGTCATTTGTTGAAGATGCTATCTTTTTTTCCATTGTATGGTTTTGGCATCTTTGTCAAAGATCAGGTGTCCATAAGTGTGTGGGTTTATTTCTGGGTCTTCTGTTCGGTTCCATTGATCCACCATTCTGTTTCTATGCCAGTACCATGCAGTTTTTAGTATTGTTGCTCTATAGGACAGCTTAGATCAGGGATGGAGATACTTCCTGAAGATCTTTTATTGTAGAGAATTGTTTTAGCAATTCTGGGTTTCTTGTTATTCCATATGAAGTTGAGAATTTTTCTTTCCAGGTCTGTAAAGAATTGTGTTGGTAATTTGATGGTAATTGCATTGAATCTGTAGGTTGCTTTTGGTAAGATGGCCATTTTTACTATGTTAATCCTGCCAAGCCATGAGCATGGGAGATCTTTCCCATCTTCTGATATCTTCTTCTAATTCTTTCTTCAAAGACTTGAAATTTTTTTCATACAAGTCTTTGACTTGCTTGGTTAGGGTTACACCAAGGTACTTTATGTCATTTGTGGCTATTGTGAAGGGTGTTGTTTCCCTAATTTCTTTCTCAGCCCTTTTGTCTTTTGTATGCAGGAGGGCTATTTTTTTTGTTTGTTTGTTTGTTTTGAGTTAATTTTGTATCCGGCCACTTTGCTGAAGGTGTTTATCAGCTGTAGGCGTTCCCTGGTAGAGTTGTTGGCGTCACTCAGGTATACTATCATATCATCTGCAAATAGTGATAATTTGACTTCTTCCTTTCCAATTTGTATCCCTCTGATCTCCTTCAACTGTCTTATTGCTCTAGCAAGGACTTCCAGCACTATGTTGAAGAGATATGGAGAGAGTGGGCAGCCTTGTCTTGTCCCTGATTTCAGTGGGATTGCTTTAAGTTTCTCTCCGTTCAGTTTGATGTTGGCTATAGGCTTGCTGTATATCACCTTTACTATGTTTAGATATGTGCCTTGTATCCCTGATCTCTCCAATACTTTAAACATGAATGGATGTTGGATTTTGTCAAATGCTTTTTCAGCATCTAGGGAGATTATCATGTATTTTTTTTTTCTTTCGGTTTGTTAATATGGTGGATCACATTGATGGATTTCCATATATTGAACCACCCCTGCATACCTGGAATGAAGCTTATTTGGTCATGGTGGATGATATCTTTGATGTGTTCTTGTATTCAGTTTGCAAGTATTGTGTTGAGTATTTTTATATCAATGTTCATAAGGGAGATTGGCCTGAAATTCTCTTTCTTTGTTGGGTCTTTGTGAGGTTAAGGCACCAAGGTGACTGTGGCTTCATAGAATGAATTTGGTAATGTTCCTTCTGTGTGTAATAGTTTGAAGAGAACTGGAGTTAGCTCTTCTTTGGAGGTCTGGTAGAATTCTGCGCTGAAACCATCTGGTCCTGGGATCTCTTCCAGGTTCTGGCTGGGTGGTCTGAGAGTGGACCCAGTGATTCCCACGCCATGGGGCTTTCTTCTCACCTGGGAAACACGATTGCTGTTGTCTTAGGGCCCAGAGTTCAGTCTCTTGGTCTCTGTATGGAAAATGTTGTCCTGTTCCTCAGACGCAGTGTTCTCCTGGCGCCACCATCTTGTCCCCCCCTCGAGATGGTAACTTTTAAAGACATAAAAAATATGGCCAAGAAATCTTATGTGAAGAGTCACTCTTGAGACCTGATGTCTCTGGGATGTGAGGATGAGAACAGAGAGAATCGGGAGTTTATATGTAGAAGAGTGGTATCCCGGAAGTGAGATTTTAAAAAGTGTCTTAAGGAGGGAGCAACGTAGGGTATAGATGGCTGGACATTTGCACAGCATACAGATGGTTGTCCCAAGGACTGTATGGGAAAGAAAGCCTGATAGGCATGGTCTTCAGAATCAGGGGGAGAAAGACCACAGACACATGGGTAGGAGACTTTTTGAAAAATAGGAAAAAGCCATGGATTAATAGATGAAGACATTAAAATTTTACTTTCTTTTTTTGTTTGTTACTTTGTTTTGTTGGCTTGGTTTGGTTTTTCAAGACAGGGTTTCTCTGCATGGCCTTGGCTGTCCTAGAAATCACTCTGTACACAAGGCTGGCCTTGAACTCAGAGATCTGCCTGCCTCTGCCTCTGAGTGTTGGGATTAAAGGCATGTGCCACCACTGTCCATCTTACTTTCTATTTTTTGTATACTTCAAATTATCAATATTGTTTGAGTACTTTTTTTTTTTTTTACTTTTCCTATACATCAATGAATTTCTTATCTCTGGAATTATCTGAATTATGTATTTGTGGTCCAAAGCAAGGCCTGCATATGCCTAAAAACTTACAAGCCAGGGCTCTGTCTCTGCTGTGCCCATGGTAGATGCTCTGGGTGCTTCTGTCCCTCAGCGGCTTCTGTGGGGAGTTCTGTGGAGGGTTGTAGTGATAAGGGATGCACCTTAGCATCCCTGTGAGACAGATTCCCTCTGGGTTGCTTCCTTTCACTTTCACATGAGAAATATGCAAACAGGGAGCTGGCTTTTCAGACTCCTGTACTCTTTGACCTGCAAGGGTCCAGTTTATCATAAGTTCAGTGATTACACCATAAAATGACAGCCAAACTGTAGTATCTATCTGTGCTATTACTTTAAACCCTGTTTCCGTTCCCTATTAAAACTTTAAAGTGTATAAAGGCTTCTGGGATTTGTAGTACTTTTATATCACTAAGTCCCAGTCTCCTGATTATGTCAGAATAGGTATTAAATGATGTGGGCAGAATGGTGCTAGAATTCAGAATGGAGAAGAGGCTTTGGTTATTTCTCAATGAATCTGTTCCATTTTGGAGTTGGGAAAGATTTGTACAAAGTGGCAGAGATGGCCAATGGCCAGCCCTAGAGTACATATCATAATCTTTCCTGAGACCAGCCAGTCTTGCTCAAGAGAACAAAACAAAACAAAACAAAAAACTAGGACTGTGTGCTATTTACAAAGAGATTGGGTCTGGAAGCCAGAGCAGGGATTTGAGGTTCTGTGAGGTGCCAGAGTAATTCTAAGAGACGTGGACTGTACTACATGGAAGTGTGCTAAACTACTACATTAACTGCTGGTTTCAAGTTGGGAATCACAGCATAGGTAGTGAAAGCCATGCATCATGAACCCTCTACCCTTCTACCCAAAGGCTCCGCTTACTGTAAACCATATTCCATTATTTTCAAGTCTGTAATTTTTCTGGAAAGCCAGTGTTTCAGATAGGCCCAAATATCTTTATTGACAAATATCTTGCTTAAAGTATAAGCAGTTTTATAACTAAATAACCACCATTCCCAATTTAATATAATTGTCAGATCCGTACCATTCTGGTTTGCTTTAGTCATCTTGGTATTGAAAGATTATGGAAAGAAATATGTACTTGCACTTTGGGTTATTACTCTACATTTGTAAATCATTGAAATCTTCATTTTAAAAACCAAAAACGTTGTACAAGCACATCTTTTATTATATAGGTGAGAAGAGTTTCATGAAAATGAGTTACTATCCTTAAATATATACCTGAATATATTTTAGACTATAAACCATTTCTCTACTTTTCTCTTCTTTTTCAGGCTATAGGGTCTAGGCTTGCTATCATTACCCAGAATGTAGCAAATCTTGGAACAGGAATTATCATATCCCTAGTCTATGGCTGGCAGTTGACGCTTTTACTCTTAGCAATTGTACCCATCATTGCAATAGCAGGAGTGGTTGAAATGAAAATGTTATCTGGACAAGCACTGAAAGATAAGAAGGAACTAGAAGGTTCTGGGAAGGTGAGTTAAACTAAATATGATTGGTTACCTAAGTAGAAAACATTCTTTCCAGTGATGTTTTCTTCCTCTCTGTTACTGAGTATGCTCTGACAATGCTGGTTTGTGTGTGTGTGTGTGTGTGTGTGTGTGTGTGTGTGTGTGTGTGTGTCTTCTTGTGGATGCACATGTATGTGCAAATATGCCTGCATGGGTACATGTTGTGTAGAGGTCAGAGAATACCCTGAGCATTTTTTTCTCAGGTGTGGTCCACTTTGCTTTTTGAGATATGCTTGTTCACTGTTTGAGATATGGTCTCTTCACTCATTCCTGTGCGTCCAGCACTAGGATTACAGGCACAAGCCACTAAGAATAGCTGAGATGTTTTTACCTGAGTTCTAGACGTCAACTCAGGTGCTTGTGCTTGCAAGGCAAGTACTTTACCAATAGAGCCATCTCCTTAGTCTATGATATTATTTTAACAGCCACCCTTTGGGAAACATCTATTATACTTATATCAATTAGACTTTGAAGAAAAGTGGGAAACATAGCCTTAGTTTCAAATACCAACACCTGCTTTTCAGCGGTCAGTCGGTTGTTTCAGGCCATTGTCTTCAGAGTCATCCAGCCTTCCTCTTTACTTTTCTTTTTTTTCCTCTTTCCTCCCTCTGTCTTACTAGTGGTTTCTAGCACTGTGATGAAACCCCCATGGGCAAAGCAATCTGGGGAGGGAAGAGTTTATGTCATTCACAGATCCATTTAACAGTTTATTATCAGAAGCAGGGAGGGCAGGGCAGACCCTGGAGGGAGGCGCATCAAAGTGTCACAAGGCGTGGCATGGTATGTCTCTTCCAGAGGGATGCTGCTGGCTAGCTTGCTTCCTCTGCTTAGCTCAGCATGCTTTCTTGTAGAACCCAGGACTACCAGCCTAGGTGTGGTACTACTCACGATGAGCTGGGCCCTCCCCCATCAATCACTAATTAAGAAAATGCCCTACAGGCTTACCTAGAGCCGGATCATATAGAAGCATTTTCTCAATTGGGGCTCTCTCTCTGATGACTCTAGCTTCTGTCAAAAATGACATAAAACTAGCTAGTATACTCTCCCTCCCTTCTGTTCTTTCAGGCAAACTTAAAACCACCCCTATATTCAGGAAATCAGACCCATTTTATTATGAATAATTGGGGAGATTCAAAGTGGAGAAGTCCCAAGTGTATGTGTTCTCTCCATTGTAGATTACTTAGTCTAGTCAGTTTGTGTTGCTCTGGGACCTCCTGCCATTTTACATCCCTGTTCTGGCCCCCAGACCTGCTTTCTCAGCAAACAGCACACATCTTTTACCACCTCTCCCTTTTCCCTTTATCATGCCTTCCTCTCTTCCTCCCACATCTGTTTTCCTTCCCCTCATCCTGTTTTTTCTGCACACTTAGCTATTTTTTTTTTTCTTGTAGTCCAACAAAGACTTATGTGGCATTTACTTGGTCTCCTGGGAAATGCTTTACTCTTTCCATTGACTCTGTCAGGTATATTTTGTTATGAACTCATTTTTCAGGTGACGCTGAGTGACACACACCTCAAACTCAGGATTCATATTCAGACAATGTTGCACCTATTAGCTAGGAACCCAAGTTCTGTTATGGTGGAGCATCTGATAGCACATGCTCTCTGCGGAAATGAGAGTTAAGAACGGGGCTGCCCATGACATTCCAAGTAACAAAAAACAGAGCAGGGAGCCAGGGCTGTGGCTTCCAGTCGTCAGTGCCTGTGATCCAGCCACCCCGATGATGGGAAAGTTGAGGAAGGTCTCAGAAACACTAAAGACACTTTGTCTTTCTCTGTGTTCTCAGACTTGTTGCTCTGCTTTCATCAGTTCTTTCAGGGAAATGCTCTGACGAGCTTTAGTCAGATTTAATGCTCTGATTAGCTTTCCCAGCCAGGGTCTGTGAAGTTCAACCTCTGATGAGGAAGTCCCAGCAAACTGTCATTGAGAACTCACTAACCCTGGGGTCTGGCCCAACTAATACAGGCCCTAACCAAGGAATACATATTATACCACACTTTGCAATGTGCTTTGAGTTTGGGTCCCAGAGCAGACGTGAAGTCCTGGTCATTTCCTGTCTTTGTGGTATGATGTCGGAACAGGGAAATAAACTCTACTGTGCCTATGATTGGGGCTCGACAGTGTTCTATCACATTTTTATGGGCTAATGAGCAGTTTTGTGTAATATATGTAGTTGTCTTTTTATTATTAAATTCCAATCAAACCTCAGGTTGTTTGGGGCAGGAAGGAAAGCATGTTTGTTTCTGAGAAACACATTTGCCTTTCTTCGGAATGGCTCAGCACACAGCCTCTTAAAAGAAGTGGTGCTATTTACTCTTCTTTGAACCTAAACTTCCTAGTGGTGCCTGAATGTTTATTGAAGTTGTAAGGATACGGCTGCCGCTTAAGGCCTTTACTAATTGCCTCATCGGACATTGAGATGAGACTTCACTGTGGAGTGACTGTCGTCATCACATTACGGAAGCTCCCTGCCCCAAGACCTCACTTGTATTGGGCTGAACATCCACTATGAACCCCTTACAAGCAAGGCACTTCCTTCCTTAGAAAATAAAGCATAGGAAATACTTCTTTAAAACCTCATACTACAATTGACAGGTAGAACTATTTATTTGTTTATTTATTTATTGTGTATGTTGTATAATTTATGTGCACATTCGTGGTGGTAAGTGTGCTGATGTGCATGCCTATTGAAGCCAGAAAATGAATTCTGGTGTTCTACTCTATCACTCTCTGCCTTATCTTTTGTCTTTCGCTGAACTTTGTCCTTTTGGCTAAACTGACTCACCAATGAGCTGCTGAAATCATATTCCCCTTTCAGATAAGTTAATGAAAGCCATGGTGGTTCAAATGCCATGGCTGGTACAGGCAGAAATCCCTTTGTGTGGCTTGGATGTTCTTGATGTTCTGTATGTTAGGACTGTGCAACAGAGTTACACAGGGGGTTCACAAATCATGCCACGTGACTGGTTCCTCAGGAAAGGAGAAGGAAAGGGAAAGAGACCTAGGAAGGGGGTCACAGAGACCATCTCTGTTTAGGGCAGGAGAGAAAGAGAGAGAGGGGGAGCTTCGAGTTCTCTAATAAGGTGACCCAGAGCATTCGCAGGTGGTTCCAGGTGGTCCATAGGTGGCCTCACAGATGCCAGATAGCCAGTTTGTCAGGTCCCTTGGGGCTGGCCGTAGAGATGCCTGCTTATGGATCCCAACACTGTACATCCCTTTATAAGGAATGCAACAAGTGGTGATGGCTCTATTGTCAAACCTTGGTGGCAGTAAATGCATTTAGAACATAATCGAGTATTAGAAACTCTCTTGAAAAAAAGTTGATATAACGTGGTCATTAAAGGATAATGTATTCATTAGCCGAGTGGTGATGGTCATGCCTTTAATCCCAGCCCTTAGGAGGCAGAGGCAGCCTTACCTTTAAGTTCAAGGCCATCCTGGTCTACAGAGTGAATTTTAGGACAACCAGAGCTACACAGAGTAACTCTATCTTAGAAAACAAAAAACAAACAAACAAAAAAAAATAGTCAATGTATTCATTAAAAGGCAATTTACAGTCCTTAACCTCTTAGTTTCACTATTAAGAATCTTTTCTAAGAAAATCATGCACTATGAGAAAAAGTTTATTACCTTTATTTATGTAGTTGTTACATAAATAATGTGTTTATTACAATGTTATTTTTAATAAAAGAATTGAGGCTATTGTTAGTAATGCCGACCTGACTACAATATTAAATAGCCACTAAAAAACCATTATTAAGGCATACTAAATGAGCTTGAAAGATACTGTTGAAATTGGTTAGACAATATATAGAATTCAGTCTCTGTTTTGTGAAAGATGTGTGTGTTTAGAAAAACATATGTAAGCTACTTTATTAAATACACTACTCTAAATACTACTATAAATAAGTAGTATACTAATGTACTACTTATAAAATACACTACTATAAAAAATAAAAATACGGTACTGTGTAATTATTGATCATCTCCATTATTCTTTGACCAACTTTCAAACTGTATTGAGTTATCATGAGTGACAGTTACACAGAGAAAAAGGTATAAAGTATCACATTTTCAAAATCGTAACAATAAACGTTATTTACGCATCACCTTCACAGAAGACAAGACTCCTCTGAAAGATATAAAATGCTGTGTGGCTGTAGACAAGTGCCTCATGGTTTTGTGTCCTCGCTTCTGTTTCTTTATAGAGGGCAAGAAGAAATTATTGGTTCTCTCTTAAGGATCTAAAAATGAGTTTCATGGGCTAGAGAGATGGCTCAACAGTTAAAAGCACGGGCTGCTTGTCCAGAAGTCCTGAGTTCAATTCCCAGCAACAGCATGGTGGCTCACAAATATCTGCAGTGGGACCTGATGCTCTCTTCCATCTGATGCTCTTTTCTGTCATGAAGGTGTACATGCAAATAGAGTGCTTATATACACAAGTAAATAAATCTTTAAAAAATAAAAATAAAATTCAATTTCATAAGTCACCATTTTTTCATACAGAAAATAGCAACAAGACTAAATGATACATGAACAATAAATTATAATAGATTAATGCTACTAATTATAGAATTCAAGTTAGTTTACTGTGTTTGACTTTGGGCCTGATAATGGGTGGTCTTTTACAGATTGCTACTGAAGCAATAGAAAATTTCCGTACTGTTGTCTCTCTGACCCGGGAGCAGAAGTTTGAAAATATGTATGCACAGAGCCTGCAGATACCATACAGGTAAGGAGCCCTGAAGACTAGCCAGGGCTCTGAGGAGATTTCCAAGCAGGACTGCAGCTTTCAGGATTGCTTTTGCGAGAAGGCAGATGAAGAAAGTGCTAGAACCAACACCTGAGATTATCAAGACAGAACTAAAGAGACCTGAGTCTAGTCAGGGGCATCTGTGAACCAGTAAAGGCTGGTGACATGGGAGGGAGAAAAGAGGACAATTGTTAATCTTCTGGTGTCCAGTTGGGATAATGACCCACTGAATAGTGTGTATTTGGGGTGAAGGTTTTCTATGGAACATGAAGTCAGAGGTGTTATAAGACACTGAGGTGTCTCCTGGGGATATTTTCTGTTCCTTTCTTTCCTGGGGAGACCTTCTCTTCTCCCTTTACCCCAGCAGTATACATACGGCTCTAAAAGTGACCAGAAACGTGAGTAAGATCAACCCTGGAGTCTCAGCTTTTCCTCTAGGACAAGGCAAGAACTGGGCCTTATTATTTCCAACCACCTTTGTCATAGTCATGGCAGGCCCTCTTTTTTTCTGGAAACATTTCCATTTGAAATCTCAGGTAGCAAAGACATGAACAAAGTTGGTGGGTTTAAACCAGAGTAGGAAGGTCAAAGGGCTGCCCATCCCCACCCTGTTCCTGCCCACACCTCCACCCTCTAGATCTTTGATGGTCAGAAATTCCTGAAATGTTAATCCTTTGTAAAGCCTTCCCAGGCTCCAGACAGTTAAGTGCTTTTTCTTCCCATAGCACATTTCCCTGAATTTCCTCCACTGCGCTGATACTCTGCAACTTATCTGGAGGCCCACATGCAAAGACAGGCCCACACCCTGTCATCCACAGCTTGAGTGTTGGGTAGATGTGTTGGGAGATGTCCTATTCTTCTGGACCCCAGTGTTGTATGTCCCAAAGTAGGGGAAAGGGAGGGAGCATTCATTTGTTAATGTAAAGCAGGCTCTTCTCAGGGCTCCAGGCCCTGATAATAATCTCCTAAAGATGAAGACAGCACCAAGTCTCAGAGATGAGGCAGTTTCCTAAGTTCACACAGCTACACAAACTGGGATCAATTGAATTCTTTAGAACTGAAGTCCATAGTATCTGTCACTCTCCCTGCCAACCCACCGTGAGCTACCTGAATGACTGAGAAATGAGATGGAGTGAACGTGAGTTGCTTTTGTTCCAGAAATGCTCTGAAGAAAGCGCACATCTTCGGGATCAGCTTCTCCTTCACACAGGCCATGATGTACTTTTCCTACGCTGCTTGTTTCCGTTTCGGTGCTTACTTGGTGGCGCGTGAACTCATGACTTTTGAGAATGTTCTATTGTAAGTACTGTGTTCATATTTATAATTTAACCCTAAAAGTAAATCTAGGATGAGAAATTGTATGGTGGGGTGTCATATTGGGGATTTGGTAATTAGGAAAGTGACATTTTGCCTCTGACTGTCCATGTGGTACCACTCACACTCCATATTTCATCACACACTTTTCTACCCTGTGTTGACTCACACAGGTCTGACTTCCAAATCTGTGCGGAGACAGATAGGTTCAGCTGAAAGGTATCCAGAAGGCCCTCCCTTGGAAATGGTCTTATGTTCAGCAAGGAATCAAATGGCTCCTTTAAAGAGCTCCTGTCAGGGTAGCTACGAGGTGGGATTATGTGCCAACTCCTACCAAACCTGAGATATAAAAAGTAAAGAAGCATATATACACATAAACACACACACAAACACACATACACACACAGACCCCACAAAGTGGGAAGATTACTTAGAAACTGAAATCCCTCTTTCTCCTACACGGCTGGGTTTGTTGTTATTTAAAGAGTTATTGGTAGCCTCGCATGAGTTCCTCTTCCGTCATTTCCTATTAGTCAGCTTCGGCAAAGGATTGCTGAAGCTCACAGCTTTGCAAAAACATGTCAGGACCAGCCTTGAGCATAACTGACCAGCTTGCACTGCTCAGTGAAAGGGGACTCTGCTGACAGGAGAGAAAGACTGCTGGACTCTTGTCTTGGGAAGGAGGGTAAGGAAGAAGCCAGAAGTTTACAGGGTTCTTATTATTAGTGGCCCCTTTTCATACTTGTTTGCCTGTCAGGGATCTGACTAACTCCTTGTTACTCAGAAGCTGAAGAAATTTTTAAATGACAATGGAAGCTCTAGATTAGGACTTTCCTTCTATATTTCTGCAAACACTGAAAATTATACTTTGGTCATGGGAAGACAAACCTGAAAGAAATCACACTACGAACATCACCAAATATGCAGCTTGGTAGTCAAGGTTCTATGTGAACATTCTGAGCTTCCAAGTGGTGACAGGCCAGGCAAGACTTCTCTCTTACAGTTCAGTATAGTTAGCACTGTGACAGTTGGCATTGCAACCCAAACCAGAGAAGCCTTGTTGTATAATGTGCCAGTGCGCCATTTCTGCCCTATCTAAGATTGATTTATTCTTGCATTATAGTTAATTCAGGATTAAAAATATTCACCTTCTAACATAATGTTTCACAGGGTGTTTGTGATTATGCCCAAAGAGCAAAGTCAGACATCCCTGGACCCAGGGCATTGATTTCATCACCCTTTTACTCCAAGATTTTTGAAGCTGCTGACACTTAATGAGTCTCATTTAAATTTAAGAATGCATTGGCTTCTCAAAAGTGGCATCATAGCCAGCCATGTATCTAAAAAAAAATGTTTTCTTTATTGTGTCACGTGATTTCTAAGAATTGATATCAGCAACACTGATGTATGCACGTGTACATTACTGATTGCCACAGTTATGCTATGTAATGATCAGCAACTAAACTTCAGTGACATGGAACTCTAAACATTGTTCTGCTTGAAGTCTCTAGGTCAGTTCTCCTCATCTGGGTTGGGCATAGTAGACAGATCTCGGCTGTGGTCACTGTTGTCTGCAGTGAGCTAGCTACAGATTCATTGACCAGAATGAAAAATATAAGGGAACAAAACATATGCTGAGTCATAGGCTTGGAACTGGGAACAATGACTTCTACCACATCCTGTCCATGAGGCCATGTCACAAGGCCACTGCAGGTTTAAAAGGTCAAAAACAAATTTGTACTTCTAAGAAACTTAAACAAAGGTCATTTTGTAAGAAGGATCACAGGAGAGGTGAAAAGGGGGCATTTTGCATCATCTGCCACGCTAATGTGAAAACGTGAGGGAAAGTGACTCGTTTTATCTTTCTGCTTTATAAATGCAATTTTCCTTTAATTACAGATGCACCACGTTGTTAACATTGTAGCTACCACAGTTACTTGTCTTTTATTTTCCAGAGTATTCTCAGCTATTGTCTTTGGTGCCATGGCAGTAGGGCAGGTCAGTTCATTCGCTCCTGACTACGCAAAAGCCAAAGTGTCAGCATCACATATCATCAATATCATGGAGAAAGTCCCTGAGATTGACAGCTACAGCACAGAAGGCCTAAAGCCTGTGAGTTTCATGTTTTCACTGGGTGATCTATCCCTAACTTCTCAATGACAAGACGTGAGGAAATTTAAATTAAAAAATTATATGCTGTTGATAAGATTTAGATGAGTTGGTTTGAATAAATGTTAATGCTATATATGAACATTCATTATTTTTATAAAACAAAGTTAACTACGACAGAAGCTCCCTTCTAACCCCTGACACTACGAGTCACCGCTATTCCCTGTGTTTTCAGTACTGCTGCAGTCTGACTAAGTGTTACTGTTCTCTCTAGAATCAGTTAGAAGGAAATGTGAGATTTAACGGAGTCGTGTTCAACTACCCCACCCGACCCAACATCCCAGTGCTTCAGGGGCTGAGCCTGGAGGTGAAGAAGGGCCAGACGCTCGCCCTGGTGGGCAGCAGTGGCTGCGGGAAGAGCACAGTGGTCCAGCTGCTGGAGCGGTTCTACGACCCCCTGACCGGGACAGTGGTGAGCACGCTTTCGGATTCAGAACACTTCAGGTTTTTAATCATCCAAATGGCTGGATATGTTTAACTTGAGCATAAGCTGTGTTTTCTGAGCCTTTAAGCAAAAGCCTCTGTTAGATAATCTGACAGCCCAGGTTTGATGTCCAGTTTATGCTGAGTGTACTAGCCAGTCTATCCAGCTTCTCTCTCAGCATGCTGCTCCTCTGTTCTCTGTAGCAAGCAGGGGATGAAAATGGGATGAAAAGTCAAGAGTAGGATGCATTTTAACGAAAAAGTGGTTTGCAAGGACACAGGCTGAGGAAAGGTTAAGGAAGAGGGGACTGAGAAGTCATGAAACAACATGGTAATTCGTGAGCTATTTCCACCACTCACTCTTCTCCCCATCAAGTGTTGATGGGAGCAAACAGTTCAGCATGGCTGAAGGATGGTTAGAGAGGGATGTGGAGACTGAAGTGGATGTGACTATGAAGAAAATCCAGGGAAAAAGAGGCAAGGAAGAAGAGCAGCAGAAATGGGAGACAGTTCAGGGAACTAGTTAAGAGGAGGCCTAATCATGGCCAGGATAAGAGAATACGACTGACATAGAGGATATCTTCTCTAGTACAACAAAACAAACAGGACTCCCAAAGTAAGATGGACACATGCTGAGGGAATAATCAGGATTCCATATGCGGCAAAACTTTGAAAGCCTGTCAGAAACTATCTTGGATGCTGGGCCTAACAATTAGAGAGGCACTGACAGACAAACCAAAGTAAAGTGCATTGATACACATATGAGAATACAGTGAGTAACCCACTATTTTATATGTCAACTAAGAGATTAACCAGAAAGCCATTTCTTTAATCTCATCGTAACCCAAGAGTTTTAGTAATTTTGCCAAATCTGAATTGTGCTGGCCCTGAAGTTGATCTATGATCCCTTGCTCCTAGTTTCTAGATGGCAAAGAAATAAATCAACTCAATGTCCAGTGGCTCCGAGCACACCTGGGCATTGTGTCCCAAGAGCCCATCCTGTTTGACTGCAGCATCGCCGAGAACATCGCCTATGGAGACAACAGCCGGGTCGTGTCCCAGGATGAGATTGTGAGGGCGGCCAAAGAGGCCAACATCCACCAGTTCATTGATTCACTGCCTGACGTATGTACCTTGAGCCCAATAGTTAGCAACCCCTTTAACTTATTCTTTTAACTTATTCTTTGATGCTCCCCACCCCCTTTCTGGGCATGAAACCCAGGGCAAATATGTTCAAATACCCCTATGCCTGTCATCAGAAACTTAAAAGTCTGCTTGTTTAAAAGGTAAAGAGAAATTACCAACCAAAATACATTTTATTACCATAGAAGCATCTGTCCATACTTCTTATCCCACTTAAGGCTTATGTTTACCTAATCCTTTACCTGTCATTGTGAGGAAAGAGCAGAATATTAGACACATTCAAGTATAAAAAGACAGGAACTTTGAGGACCTGAACAGTCATTTAGTTTGTAAGCTTGAGGATCTACCTGTTTCAGGCCTGGAGATACATCTGAGCATCTTTTCCCAGGCAAAGAGTAACTAGGCAGCATATAGTCTCCACTGTGGCTTCCCTGTTGCTGCAGAGGGAACAGGCATGGTTATTTTGTAGCTCTCCTCAAAGATCCAAATATCACTATGGAATCAGGCTGGACAAGAGACCTTCACCCATGCCAGAAAGAAGGCACTGTAAATAGAGCCAAGTCACTACCATGGCTATGGTATTGTATGATCTACAATTGCTGTGTCATCCATTGTAAGGTGCAAAGCTATAATCTTAAAGTTGACTGTCGTTGAAGGTTGAAGTTTAATATTGATTTTTCTTTTAGTTAATCAGTGGTTATTCCTAAACCAAATCACCACACAGAGACTAGGATGTATTTAGTTAACCTAGAGTACAATGCTGGGCAATGATTACTCCATCCTAAACCTCCAAGCCCGCATAGCTTCCTCCTATTTAGAATTTCCAACATTATACTTACTTCATCCCTCCTCATGGTTCCAGGTTCTCTCCTGCTGAACTCTTCTCTCTGACTCCTCCCACTTACTTCCTTCTCCTCCTCTCCGGACCTGGATGTCTCACCCTATTCTCTCCATTGCACAGCATTGGCTGGTTGTTTTATTGAAAATACAGAGAACAAATGGTGACATATTTACACAAACTTGACACAGGTGATGCTTAGAATAAATATCACAATGCAATGTCCAGATTGAAACCAGATAGTGGGGTAGAGAAACCAGCATTTGAATGAACACGGGTAAATTGTATACATTCTAAAACAGTTGACTATCAAAATCTCCCCTGAGCTGTTGTCCTGTAGACTTTTTGGAGTTCTTCTTGTAAGTTAGATAAATTGAACCTCTCACCTTCTTAGGTCTTATTTTTTAAAATGTGTCTTACATAAATAATACACACTCTCCCATTATCACTAGTTATGTTCATTATTACAGGAAGTGCCCCACAAGGATCACTGTGAGTCCCTGTGGGTCTGGCCAGGCTGCACTCGTATTGAGCAGAACACCTGGATTCTGAGAGAGACACAGTGTTTTATTATTATTATTATTATTCTAACTTTTTAAATATATTTTTAAAATTTTTTCTTCACAATTTATTCATTGTATATCCCAATTGAACCCCGCTCCCTCAACTCCCCTAGTCCCACCTTCCTTCCCTCTTCTCCTCATCCCCTTCCCCTAGTTCACTGAAAGGGGGAGTTCTCCACTATTACCATCTGCACATAGCTTGTTAAGTCTCATCAGGACTGCTTGGATCCTCTTCCTCTGTGGCCTGGCAAGGCTGCATCATCAGGGGCAAGTGATCAGAGAGCAGTCAACTGAGTTCATGCTAGAGTCAGCCCCTGATCCCCTCACTCAGAGATCCACATGGAGACTGAGCTGCCAATTGGCCACATGTGAGCAGGGGCTTTAGGTCCTCTCCATGCATAGTCCTCCATTGGTGCATCAGTCTCTGTAGAACCCCTGGGCTCAGAAACAGAAAGACAGGCATAGCATACATTCACTAAGAAGTGGATATTAGCCGTATAGTATCTACAGACCTAAAGAAACTAAACACTAAGGAGGACCCTAGGGAGGATGCTTAAATCTCATTCAGAATGACTAACAGGATAGACACCAGAAGTGGTGGAAGAGAGGAAACAGGATGGAAGTCTACTATAGAGGGTCCTCTGAAAGAATTCACCCAACAGGGGATTGAAGCAGATGCTGAGACTCAGGGCCAAACTTTGGGCAGAGTGCAAGGAGTCTTATAGAGGAAGAGAGGGGTGCGATTAGAGGGACATGGAGGGGACAGGAGTCCCACAAGAAGACCAACAAAAATAATACTTAACTTTTCAAAGTTAAATAATAAAATACAGTTTCTTATTATCTATTAAAATCATTTAATTGTTGGTGATAGTTCATAAAAACGAAGACCCAAATGCTAATACCTAAGAATTTCTTCCGTTTTTTTAAATTTAGAATACTTCACAGGGTTATGAATAAGACAAACTTTGATAATAATGCACAGCTGTTTCAATTTCCTGCCAATGTTATCTTAAATGTAATGAATCCAGGGAATGAAAGTTAATACCACTACAGTATTCCTACACTTATAAATTATGGTCAACTCACAATAAAGAATATGGTTTTAAGGTATCTATTTTTCAGAAAGAGGACGTCAGGCATAATAGCACACATCTTTCACCTCACCACTTGTAAGACTGAGATGGGGGTTGAAGGGTTCAAGGCCAGCCTGGTCTATGAAGTAAGTGTGAGACCCTATTAAAAGAAAGAGAGGGTTAGCAAGATGGCTCAGATTGATCCCCTCAGGAAGATCTAACCATTACACATTGTCCTGTGACCCCTCCTCCCTCTCATAAAATGTAAAAACACATAAATAACAGGGACATTAAAATCTACCATTTTAGGACTTTTTTTTTCTCCTAGGAACCCGTTTTAACTTGTAGACCTAAAATTTCTAGTAATTATATATAACATTATTATATATAGTAAGTCATAGGACTGATTTTTATACTTAGATTTTGACTATCAAACCCATGTTTTATATTATATGATTATGTTTGTTAAAAAATTATATATTCTGTGATCAAACTGTTTGCACTCTGCCATCTGCTCTATTTTCATAACAACCAAATGCTGTTCACAGAAATACAACACTAGAGTAGGAGACAAAGGGACTCAGCTGTCGGGTGGGCAGAAGCAGCGAATCGCCATCGCACGTGCCCTTGTCAGGCAGCCTCATATTTTGCTTCTGGATGAAGCAACGTCAGCTCTGGATACAGAAAGTGAAAAGGTAAGGATTGAAGTTGGGTTCTAAGTTGGGTTCTTTCTCTGCCTTAGTAGAGAACACTGCTCCAGCTAGCTGATGGTTGCTGATGTTGGCACCCAGTGGAGTTTAACTGTGTCTGTAGCTGGAACTTAGGAGGCCTTGATGATAAGAGACAGGTTAGTCATGGCCCCTTGTGGGCCACGGTGCTCTGCCTATAGGCTGCATGCTGGCAGCAGTCTGCTTCTGCCAGCTACATCTCTGGAGCATCCCATGGAGAGCGGAGGGTGAGACGAGGCTGGAGTCTGGCAGTGCCCTAAGACAGCTGCTGCTGCTGCCACCTTCCAGCTCGAGAAAGGCTGACAGTTCAGCTCTCTGAAAGGCAGATGGTCACGAGGTTTTTACCTGCTATGTCTTTGGCTGCTCCAGCTTCCTGAATGTGCTGTGGAGCTGAGGCCTGCCCTTAGGGATGTTGTGTGGCAAGGCACAGGACTGTTTTTAAAGGGGGATGGACTCTATTTACTGCCCTTACCTCAATATTAGATTATCCCTGTCAAGAACTCATCCAAACCGAGGTTGACTTCTCTGCTGTGACAAATACCTTGGTTTCTAATCTCTGCTTTATTTCACCATCACTACTGCTGAAGGATGGAGTGTAAAAATCCTCAGGCTTGTTATGGAGGGGGAGGACTGTTTTCGTCATTAATTCTGTTGTGCGATTGTGGAACAGGTTGTCCAGGAAGCCCTGGACAAAGCCAGGGAAGGCCGCACCTGCATTGTGATCGCACACCGCCTGTCCACCATCCAGAACGCAGACCTGATTGTGGTGATTCAGAACGGCAAGGTCAAGGAGCATGGAACCCACCAGCAGCTGCTGGCCCAGAAAGGCATCTATTTCACAATGGTCAGTGTGCAATCGGGAGCAAAGCGCTCATGAACTGTGACCATGTAAAATGCTAAATATTTTTAATATTTGTATTAATATATGGCATTTAATCAAAATAAAAACACTGTTTTTTTAGAATAGCCAGTTATCTATTTCCTGTCATATGGAAAGCATTTAGTCCAGTTTAGGGCCTTCAGAGACTTTGTTCTTAAAGGAAGAGAAATAGATACACCATCAAATGGAGAGTAATAGTTTAAATTACACTATAAAATTCATAAAAGAATTAAATGTTTGATAATATATACTTTTATTTATACTTTCTCATTTGTAACTATAACTGATTTTCTTGCTAAACAAATTATGTGTGTGTCAAAAATTACTGAAATGTTTGTATAAAGTATATATATATATATAGTGAAACTGAATATTCATATTCTTGAGTTATCTTGCTCAAAATTCCTATGAAATGATATATTCTACCAACTGGAATATTGTACATAATTTTAGCTTGTAAAAATTAGCCTATTCTGAGGTGGTCACTCTATGGGTAAAGTGCCTGAGACACAGGGTCCCTCAGTTCAGATCCCTAGCACCTATGTAAGCAGCAAAGTAGGGTGGTATGCATTTGTCATGCCGGTGCTAGAGGCAGTAACAGGCAGGCCCTGTGGTCTCAGTGGCCAACCATCCTAGCCAAAATAGGGAGTTGAGCTCCAGGCTCAGTGAGAGGATTTGTCTCAAAAATAAGAGGGAAAAGCAAGTGAGGACATCTTGATATCAGAGTGAGTCTGACCCTTACATTCTCCTGTGTAGACAAGTGTACACACGTGTGCACTCATGCAAACACCGTATATGTATTAGTATGTATTTATGTTACACACACACACGGTTATTAGAAATTGAAGAGATAAAATAAGAAAGGTAGAAGAGGTGCCCATAAAACCCATCAAATAGTGCTTCCATCAGCTTTGTCCAGAGAAGTTTCTTTTTGAGGTGGTCAGTGGTGACTGCAGACTCTTAACTAACTAAAGTCCTGAGAATAAGGTGACTGTTAAATGTCCAGCCATAAATGAGATATTTGTGTTACTCCTTCCAAAGCTCGAAGGAGCAGAAAGAATATCGGAGCCTGAGGGAGGAGTGGGAAGAGGTGTGCAACCCTGACTTACAGGCATGGCATGGCCGCTACGTTCCTGAACCTATAACTATGATTTTTTAGTAGGGTCTGTACAAGACTGGACCTATCAACACTCTGGCGTCAAAGGGAAAGGGCTTCATCTCACTCCAAGGGTTTCTATGCACGTAATGGTTGACTGGAAAGAGAAAGATATTTTTTCATTGGTGTAGACACTGGTAAGGTGTCCATCTACCTATAAACAGACCCTCACCTGTGTTTCTGAAGACAATCCCAACAACTTATTAAGTCTCTCTCTCTCTCTCTCTCTCTCTCTCTCTCTCTCTCTCTCTCTTTCTCACACACACACACCCAAACAAACAAAAACAAAAACATTACAGGAGGACTAGCCAGGCAGATAAAGGGTATTAACAGGAGTGACAATGGGGCAAAAGAGGGTACCTGGCTAAATATGATTGAAGGATGTTATGTACATGTATGGAAACACCATAGTGAAACTCATTATTATGTATACTTAATATATGGCTAATAAAATATTTTTAAAAAGAAGAAAGAAAATATCCCTAATTGCAAATAAGAGGGTCTTATAAAGAAAAGATCCTAAGGACTCTAACTGAAAATGCTTAGATATGATAAGTACTTTTAGTAGATCAACAGCTTTGCTTTCTTTGTTTGTTTGTTTTTTGTTTTTGAGACAGGATTTCTCTGTGTACTCTTGGCTGTGCTGGAATCACTTTGTAGACCAGGCTGGCCTCAAACTTATAAAGCTCTGCCTGCTTCTGCCTCTGCCCTTGCCTCCCTGAGTGCTGGGATTTCAGTTGTGCACCACCACGCTCAGCTGATCAATAGTTTTTCTATACACCAGTAAGGAACATGCTAAGAAAAATCAGGGAAACAGTTTCATTCACAATAGTCTCAAAATAACTAAATATATAAAATAAGGAAGTGAAAGACCTCTATAATGAAAACTGAAACACTGAAGAAAGACCTTGAAGAAAATACTAGAAGAGGAACGACGTCCCCCCCACACAGATCATCAGATTCATCTGGTGAAGATGGCTGGCTTACCAAAAGTGACACACAGATTCATTGTGATCCAAATCTTAAATTCAGTGAAATTCTTCGTGGAATTATAAAACTCATATGGAAGCCCATAGATCCCAAACAGCCAGAACAGTCCGGAGCAAAAATTACAATGCTGGAGGTTTCATAATCCCTTATTTCAAGTTATGCTATAGGACAATGCTAACCAAACAGTATGTGTTGATACAAACTGGGGCATGTAAACCAATGGAATACAATAGAATACCCAGAAATAAACTCATTCAGGTACCCTATGTGACTTTTCACATAGGTATCAAAAAACACAAGTTGGCAACATCTTTTCAATAAGTGGTTCCTGGAGTACTTGATTTCCACAGGTGTAATGACAGTGTATCTTTCATTGGTTCTCTGTACCAAAATAACAAAACACATCAAAGGTTTGAATATAAGACCTGAGACTTTGAAATTGCTAAAGGAAAGTAAACATAAAACACCAAAAGATATAAGCGTAAGTCAGGACATACTGAAGTGGACTCTAGCAATACAGATAATTATCGTAAGAATTGATAATTGGGATTGCATGCAATTAAAAAGTTTCTTCACAGTAAAAGAAACACTCAACAATGTAAAAACTTATTTTACAGGATAAGAAAATAGTCTTTTCCAGGTAGGCATACGACAGAGGACTAATATCTATTAGGAACTATATTATATTAGAATTTATAAAGAACACAAAATTACACACACACAAATCAGTCAAAAAAAATGGGCATAGGAAATAAAGAGTTACCAAAAGAAGCCCAAATGGCCAATAAATACAAAATATTCAACGTATTTAAAACTCATACGTAAACACAAAAGACATGAAATAACCATAATGATCTTGAACAAAAAGAACAAAGCTGGAAGCATTACAATATCTGATTACAAGGCGTTATAGACCACAGTAACAAAAACAACCTGGTGATAGCATAAAAACAAACACAAAGACCATTGGAGCAGAAAAAAAGGTCTCAGGACTAAATCCATGCATCTTTAGCCCACTGATTCTTAAGCAAAGTGTGCAAAGCATACATTAGAGAAGGGAAGCTCTTCAGCAAATGGATATGTGAAAACTGAATATTTACATGTGAAAGACTGAAACTACACCTCTATCTCTCACAAATCAAAATCAATTCCCAGTAGATAAAACACTATTTAATGTAATAAACACCCCAAACTTTGAAAGTACTTGAAGAAAGCAGAGGGGAAGTGCTTTAACATGTTGGCACAGACAACAACTTCCTGGATGTGATGCCAGTTGCTCAGGAAATAACCATAAATTAACCAAATACTAATACATCTAATTAAAAAGTTTTGCACATCAAAAGAAGTAGCCCAATGAAGAAACAACCTATTAAGTGGGACAAAATCTTTTTTATTCATTTATTATTTATTACAATTTACTCACTTTGTATCCCATTTGTAGGCCCCTCATCTCTTCCTGGCCCCACTCCCCCTACCTAATCACCCCCTCCCCTCATCACACCCTATGTCCCTCCCCTAGTCCACTGATAGGGGAGGTCCTCCTCCCCTTCCCTCTGACCCTAGCCTATCAGGTCTCAGCAGAACTGGTTGCATCCTCTTCCTCTGTGGCCTGGCAAGGCTGCCTCCTCTCCAGGGGGAGGTGATCAAAGAGCCAGCCACTGAGTCCATGTCAGAGATAGTCCCTGTTCCCCTTACTAGGGAACCCACTTGGAGACTGAGCTGCCATGGGCTACATCTGAGCAGGGGGTCTATGTCCTCTCCATGCATGGTCCTCAGTTGGAGCATTGGTCTTTGCAGGACTTCCTAGACCCAGATTTTTTGGCTCTTTTGGAGTTGTGGAGTTCCTGTCCCCTCCAGGTCTTTCTATCTCCCCCTTCTTACATAAGATTCCCTGTACTCTGCCCAAAGTTTGGCTATGAGTCTCAGCATCTGCTTTGATACTCTGCTGGGTAAATTCTTTCAGAGACCCTCTGTGGTAGGCAAACAAGAGTTTCTTTGTATAACCTTGGCTGCACTGTACTCTATAGACCAGGCTGGCCTCGAACTCAGAGTTCCACCTGCCTCTGCCTCCCAGTGCTGTGATTAAAGGTGTATGCCACCACTCCTGGCCTGCAAAATCTTTTCTATTTGACAGATGGTTACCAATCCAGATTATATAGGTCACAAAAAAGCAACACTGAACCAAAGTAATCCAATTTCAAAATTGACAAATAATCTAAATAGACATTTCTCAAAACAAAAAACATGTGACAAGACTCCAAGCCCCCACCTCCAGTGTATTTGGGAATTTCTTGCCACACTTGTCCTTATTGTGATTTATAGGTTTTACAGCTGGAGAGGGCTGTTGATTGCTTTTCTCTCTTGACTGCATGCATATAACCTTCAAAACCAATGAGAGTTAGCCTCTATAACTGGTCAGAATGCAGAAAAACAACTAACTGGGGCTGTGCAACTCCATGTGATAAATCTGCAACACAACCCTTACACCATAAGCTCAGGGAACATCATGGACACGGGAAGAAAGATTGTGAGAGCCAGAGGACCAGGAAGTCTTCTTTGAGAGTGTATCTTCTAAATATGACAGGTACATCCATGGAATCTCAACCTTATGGTCTCCTAAACAAAATCTGCACAATGACAACACCAGTTGACATACCAACATGGATGGGGAAAGCTCATGTGACCCTGCTCCTAGATGCAGAGCTACAGGCAGTCGATGGGAACTGAGAGAGGGAGACTCAATCTTCTCAAGGGGTAAGCACCCAATAGGTTAGCCAACCCCAGGCTGTCAGCCCCAAGCACACACACAAACATAAAAGCAACCCAAAATGGACTCAGCAGGCTGTATTTATTTATAAATATGTGTGTATACATATATACATAATAATAATTAAGGATGAAGAAGTCATGAAAAGTGGTTATGGGAGGACTTGGAGGACAGGAAGGTAAAGGAAATGACATACAGTACTCGTGTATGAAATTTTAAAAATATACATTAATTAATTAAAGAGAAGAATGGAATGATCTCATTTTCTGGAAAATGGTTGAATGTGGAGACCATGAAAAAAAAAAAATAAGCCAGACTCAGAAGAACAAATACAGCATATTTTCTCTCAAATTCTGAAAATATGGGGAGATGATGCAGGGGCAATGAGAGAGAAGGAGGGATTTAAAAAGAAAGAGAATAGGATCCTTTCTCCCATCTGCAGATGTATGAGTGCTGAAGGGGTGGCTCTTTGTGTGCTAAAAAAAAGAACATGTTCAAAGTATAATGATATACGTATGAAATATCACAATGAAGCCCACTACTCTGTATCTCAACCAAAAACTCATATGAGTAAAACATAAAATGGCTAATGAATAGATGAAAAACAATTACCATCCTCAATCCATCATGAAAGTATAAGTGAAAATATGCTGAGACTCCATCTCACCCAAGTTCAAATGGCTATCATTTTTAATAAGAAGAAACAAGAATAATAGATGCTGTCAAAAATATGGAAAGTAAACAACCTTTATACACTGTATAAATGTAACCACCATGGACAACAGTGTATAGATTCATGAAAATATTATATACAATTACTAGGGCTGGAGAGATGGCTCAGTGGTTAACAACACTTGTTGCTGTTGCAGAGGATCTTGATTCAGTTCCCAGCACCCCCATGATGGCTCATAACCATCCATAACTCCAATTCCAGGGGATATGACCTCCTCTTATGATCTCCAAGGACAGCAGGCACGTATGTGTGCACATACATACAGGCAGACAAAACACATGAAATAAAATAAATCTTTATAAAATACAATTACTATTTGGTCCAGCCACATTATTCCTAGAACATAACCAGAGGAAATGAATTCAACACATACCTTAGTTACTTTTCTCATTGCTGTGAAAAAAAAAAAAAGGCTGGCAGAAGCCACCAAAGGAAGTAGTTTATTTTGATTCATAGTGAATCCAATCCATTGAGGCAGGAAGGCATGGCAACAAGGGTCACATGGCATCCAAAATCAAGAAGCAGAGAGAGATTAATGCTGGTGTTTAGTACCAGCTATAAGATGTGGAAACTTTAGAGACGACAAAAAAAACATGACCTAACAGGAGAAAGAGGATTATTAGTGACTGGGAGGGGAAGAAAAGGAAAGGGAATGGTGGTTGGGAAAGGGTGAAGGTGAGGGTCAGTGTGAACAATACAGGATACATATACATATACAAAACTGATATAATATATACTTAATATAATATATAGTACACAACATAATATATATTTGTAAACATATTTATATACAATATTAAAATTATAATTAATATTATATATAAATATATGGTATATTTATAATTAATATAAATATATTATGATATAAATATATATTATGTACTAGAAATATAAGATAAAATAGATGTTATATTTTATATATGTGAACAATAAGGATATATAATATACAGTATATGAATATATTTGTACATATTTTATATAGAATAT